TATTTTCTGACATTATTCTGACATTATATATATATATATATATATATATATATATATATATATATATATATATATATATATGTATTATTTTAAAAAATCAAGAAAAACAGTTTCTCTCAATACTAATTATTTCATAATATAAGAAATTTTCGCTGGGTTATGTGTACCAGCATCACCAGCTTGTAAAATTTTACAATAATTTTTAATCATTATAATTTATATAAAATTGTTACTATTGACGCTAGTGATTAAATGGCTTCATTTGATTTTTAAATTTTTAAAATGGCGTCCAAAACATAGTTTTGACATAATGGCCTTCATCAAGATTAATTCCGCCGTTTCTTGCAGAGCACATGTTATTTTGTATTTTTAGTGCCTCTCTAATTTTTGTTTTAAACTTTTTATTTTCTTTCTTTAACGTTCTTGTTTTTTCCCAAATAATATTTTCTTTGCAAAAGGTTTTATGAAATGCTAATGCAGATTGATTAGGTTTGTTTTCATTAATGCTCTTCTGATGTTGATGCATCCGTGTATTTACCTGCATTTTTGTTTCACCTATGTAAACTTTGGAGCATTTGCATTTTATTATAAAGGTTCCAGGGTGTTACTTGGTAGTTTTGATTTGTTTTTTGATGTTAATAAAGATCTTAAATTTGGTTCTAATTTAAATACGCTCTGTAACCTACTTTTTGGAATATTTTTCAAAGTTTTGGTGAAAGACCTGGTACCCATGGTAAAGACACTACAGGATGATTATTGCATTCTGATGGAACTGTGTTTTTATTTTGTCTTTTTTGATGAAATCGTTGTGTAATATTCCTCATAGCTTTTCATCGTATCCATTTTCAATATACATGTCAATTAAAAAATTTATTTAGTTTTGCAAATGATGTTTACTACAGATGGAGTAAGCTCTATGAAGAAAACCTTTAAATATAGCTGTTAAAATATTCTTTTTTTTTTTTTTTTTTTCTCTGTTTTATAACATAAGAATTTTACAACTTCGTGCTTGATAAAAAAAAAAGTAAGTAAAAACAGATAGGGGCTCAAAGAAGATGAGGATGACAGTACGTCATCGCAATCTTTTCATAGAGCTCCTTTAATAAAATTTCAATAAAATATCGTATTACGTAATACGTAATAAAATTTCTTAAAACATTTCGTAAAATATATACGTAATAAAATTTCAATTAAATCGTAGTCAATATCGTAATAAAATGCGTAATTTGCTAATAAGATTGTTAAACAACAACAACAAGAACCAAAAAAAGTAGAGTGGTAACATTAACTAAAAAAGTTTCTTAAATTTTAAAAATTTCTTTTTTTGTTATAAACTTGAATGAACTTAACGAATTTACCGTACCTTTGAATCCTTTTTGAAAGGTATTCCATACTTTAGGACCTTGATATGAAATGCAATATTCTGAATATTTATTTATTATCCGAGGCAGTTTATTGTGTTCAACATATTTTCTCTAAGATTATAGTTGTCATTTTTATTTAATTCAAACTTGTTATTAAAGCTTATAGGAGAGATATTGTAATTGTAACGATACATGAAAATTAAATGCTGATAGACATTTATTTCAAACACATTCATCATTTTCATATCACTCATTAAGGGTTTAGCGTGTTCACGCCTATCCTTATAGTAAATGATTCTGCAAGCATGTTTTTGCAAACTATACAGTTTTTTAAGCTTTGATGTTTGAGTACTTGCCCATGAAATGTTTGCATAGCTGATAAAGCTATGTATTAGCCCGAAGTAGATTAATTTCAGACTTTGTGTATTGACGTAAGAGCGAACTCAATACATCAAACCTATGATTTTAGTGATTTTTGACTGGATGTATATTATATGAGGAATCCTTGATAAATTTTCAACAACAATGATTGTTGAAATTGGATCGCTTTTTAATTAGCTTATCATTTAGGAATAGTTTAGCCAATTTGAGAGGAAGATTTTCCTCTTGTATTTTTTTTATGGAATAGTATATAATTTGTTTTCTCCGCATTAAGCGAGAGTTAGTTAGCTTTAAACCAGTTGTTTACTTTAACTAGTTCTATATTCATGTCAGCATATAATGTTTTGATATCATTGTTGTTAAGAAATAGATTCGTGTCATCTGCAAACATGACTGAATTCAGTTTTAAGGATGCATTACAGAAGTCATTTATATATATAAGAAAAAGGAGTGGACCAAGAACTGATCCCTGCGGGACTCCACACAAAACATTTAATACTCCAGAGTGGACATTATGTACATATTGTTTTCTGTTGGTAAGATAGCTTTTAATCCAATAATAGGTTTTATTAACTATTCCGTAATGTCTTATTTTATCTAAGAGAATGCAATGATCCACAGTATCAAATGCTTTTAACAAATCAAGAAATACTCCTAAAGTAAGCTTATTATTTTCAAAACTATTAGTTATTTGATTTACTATTTCAATAATTGCATGCTCAGTTGAAAGATTTTTTTGAAAGCCATACTGATTTGGGTAAAAAAAATTGTTTTTAATAAAGTAAGATAGATTCTATTATAAACTACACGTTCGAAGAGTTTTGAAAATACAGAAAGTATTGATATGGGTCTGTAGTTTGTAATGTCAGAATGATCATTACATTTGTATAAAGGAGTTACTTTTGCTAATTTAAGTACATCCGGAAAAATCCCAGAATTTAACGAGAGCTTTAGTATATGTATCAGAGGTCTATTAAGACTGTGTTTGTTTGCAATAATTATATCACAAGGTATCTCATCAAATCCTGGTGCTTTTTTTTTTTAAAGAGGCAAAAGCTGCCTCAAATTTGTCATAACTTAATTCGTAATCATGCATTATAACGTTATTCGTAGGTTTAAGTTTTTAAAAGATTCAGGTGTTGGTATTATTTTTTTGACAAAGTTCGGACCAATACTAATAAAATATTTATTAAATTCATCCGAGATGAGTTTTTGACAAAATATATCGTTGTTATCAATAACAATTCGTTTAGGTAGTGAAGGTGAATTTAGTTTTTCTTTTCACATTATTGCATTAAGGATGGACCATGTTTTTTTGCTATCAAATTTACATTTGTTAATTTGATTACTGTAATATTTTTTTTTGGCATTTTTAATGAGATCTTGATAAAAATATTTATAACTTTTGTAATTTTTTTCATTATTATTGTTTTTATTTTCAGAAATTTATTATAAAGTTTTTGCTTTTTTTTTTGAGCACTTTAATAATGATTTATCCATCCACGGATTAGCCAGAGCTTTTGACTTAATTTTTATAATCTCTTGCGGACAGATTACGTTAAAATACTCCAAAAATGTACTTAAAAAAGCATTGTAATCTTCATTAGTATCTTGACATTTATATACGTTGTTCCAAGTTTCTTGTTTTAGCCTACTTGTTAACTTATCGGTGTTACTCATTTTTAAATTTCGTTTTTTCAAATGTATGGTTTTGATTGACAGTCAGACTTAGATTTATAGTTTTATTTATTTTCGGATCGTGATTTGAATGCGCTTTAATTTGAGTGTTAGCGATTGCCTCTTTTCAATATACTTTTTACTCATATATTCCTTGCGTGTTATTTGTAATGGTTATATAAAAAAAGTAAAGGATTTTTTTTCGTTTTTAACTTTAATTCTGTATTGTATTGCATGATGTTGTTGATTTAAAATATCTTGGAACTGTTTTGCTTGTTTTGTTAGGAAATCTTGCATGACTATTGTCATCGTATCTTAAAAATGATTTTAGATTAAGTGCAGGATTGTCAAAGCCATTTTGCATTATTTTTATGGAATTGTAAAAAGATTCCGCGAAAACAATTATGAAAGAGAATCCAATTGGTCCTGAGTTTTCCATTACGTGAATCTCATTGTTCCAATGAAAATAGCACTGATATAAGCAAAGTTCTATGAGTTGTTTTATTTCAGGTATACTTAGTTTTGCTAAGTTTTTGTATGATAAACTATTAATTGTTCTAAAAGTATAACGGTGGCTTCTTTTAACGGAATTGACGGGTACAGATTTACAACATCATGAGACACTTAATATCATTGTTCGCGACATTCCAATTTTCTGCTTTTTTATAAAGTCAAAAGTTGTTAAATGTAGAAAATAAAAAGTATGAAAGAAAAACTAGAGAGAGACACTAGAAACACAAAACAACATGTGCTCTGCACGAAACGGCGGAGTTAATCTTGATGAAGGTTAATATGACAAAACTATGTTTTAGACGCCATTTTTAAAACTTAAAAATCAAAAAAAGCCATTCAACCGCTGACGTCAACAGTAACAGTTTTATATAAACTATAACGATTAAAAATTATTGTAATATTTTACAAGCTGATGATGCTGGTATCCGTAACCCAGCGGAAAATTTCTTATATTAAACTAAAAATCTACAAAATAACTCAAAAATAATCTTTAATGCAATATATAATTAACAAATCAATGTATAAAAATACATTTAAATAAAGTTAAGCAGAACTTATATATATATATATATATATATATATATATATATATATATATATATATATATATATATATATATATATATATATATATATATATATATATATAACTTATATATGATGATAATGATGATGTAATAAAGATATTACATAATAATTATATAATATCTTCTCCTCAATACAATATTTTCTGTTCAATATTATAAACTCTACTTAATATTAAATCTTATATTCAGTATATAAAATATTCAGTTAAATTTTTTTTCTTCCTCAAAATAATGAAAAAACAAAAGAATTAAAATAATTTAAACTTTAAAAAATTTAAACAATCTTTAAAATTGAAAAAACTTATGTATAAAAATTGAAAATACTTATGTATAAAAATTGAAAAAACTTATGTATAAAATTCTGTTTATTAAAATTTTTTTTTTTTAATAATAATTCTTTAAAAAATAGATTAAGTTTTGATAAGATCTAATCGATCAATAAACACTCTTGCTAACTTTTTTAAAAATAGTTGCTTGGTATATAATTTTTTCAATCTATTATGCTTGTAAGTGAGTTATTCTCTCCAATCTTCGTATTGTCTTCAATTTTTTCAAGCGTTGCTTTCTCTTTGGTTTCTGGTAACCAATGCATCAGAAACGCAGATACAATAGTTAAAGCCCCCATCATTACAAAAGGGACTCTCCAATGAATTACACGCAACCATTTTGAAATCCAAGAAGAAAACATACCTCCAATACGACTTGCAATCATAACATAGCCAAGTGCTTCCGTTCTTAAAATTAAAAAATAAATAAATAATAAAGCTACCTAAAGTGGAAATTTTTTTTTCGTTTCAAATTTTACTAAAATATATATAGTGTAGCGCGGGGCTAATCTGAACAAAAACATAGTTTTAAGTTTTGTAATTTTTTTCTCTTTAGCTTTTGCAAAAATGTATTTTTTTTAAACATTGTATGTGTCAAGCAAATGTTTCAAGCAATTTAAAACAAAGACATATTGCATTTGTAAAGCCTGAAACAAAAATATGCCTTATTCGGAATAGCCACATGCAGAGGCTAAACAAAACAAAAGTCAATGTGCGCAAAATTTTTTCGTTAATATCGTTTTTATTTAAATCGCATGATATTTTTTTAAGCAACATGTATTTCAGAGTTATTCTTATATCAATAGTCAAATAATAGGCGTATTTGAAAAAATAAATATGCAAGGATAAAACTATTAATAGAATTTTTTTTTTTATAATTTACTTTAAATTTCCCTTTTTGAGCAAGTTTTTAATTTTTATTTTTAACATCAACTCTTTTTTTTTTACGAGTTAAGGTAACTTTTTCAGTAAGAACATCGCCACATTCTGTTTACATTCATTTACTTCTTTTTCTTTCATTGCTTATAACTGTTAGAGTGTCTTTGAAAGGAGTTGGCAATAACACTTTTAAAACAGCAGCTCAAAGTTCATGATGAGAAGAGTCATTATCTTTCGTATGCTTCACCGTCACCATCACTTCTTTTGCCAACTTTTGATGGATATAAACCTCTAAAACAAGATTCTAAATTTTTTCTGTTTAACTTTAAGCCAAGTTAGTTTCAGTAAATTTGGAAAAATAACCTTGTCAACCAACGTATGGATTCTTGGAAGAAATTAAGTTTTTTTCTCGGAAGAAACTGACGTCTAAAGGTTGTAAAGCGTGACTGAGGGGGAAATCAAATGAATGCAATCTTAATCGTAGAAATTATCGATAAGCTTAAATAAAACTAAATTAGGAAAATGTTGTTATATTTAATATAAAGCCACTTACACTGTTGGATTTTGCCTCTGATGCAAGAATATATGTAAGACGGCCTGTCATGACCATAAATAATGCAATATACACATCTTTTCCATGTTGACTAATTTTGTAAGGAATAAAGACCATAATTATTTAAAAAAAAAAAAAAAACACAAAAAAAATATAACCTGTTTAAATTTAAATTTAATTTATTATTTAAAGGGTAAAATAATTAACTAAAGTTTATGCTGAAATGGTCTTACTAGCAAATAGATAAACCAATTTTCAAAGACATGCGTTTCCATCCACCTTGATACAGGTATTATGCCCAATATACTAAGATACAGTATATTGGGCATAATAAGAACCCCCTATACACCAAGTGTTGTGAAGATTTTTGTCTTTATAAACTAAAAAAGATAGCATAAGAAAATCAGTCTCATTTACACATAATAATACCGAGAACATAGTTTTGCCACAAGAACCATTTATTTTGGAAGTGAAATGTATGCCGCGTATAAAAAAAACATTTTTATTTCCTTCACTGGTAGAAAATCGGGTCTCATCCAGATTATAAAACGATCAAGATTATTTTGTCAATCATACTTATCATAAATTCTTTTAACGGTTTCAAAAAAACTCGTTACGCTTTTCACAGTAAAAGATTTGATTCTTGAAATTGTTAAAAACTTTTCGAGTACTTTTAGATATTTGAGAAACCCATCATTTTTCAAAGAAAGTAAGAAATTGTCATCTGGCCCGTTACTATTTCAGGAAAATACTCTAACTTCTCAACTGTTCGAAAATTGGGCGACAATTGCTTTTATGTTTTTTTGATTTAGTTGCCAATCAAAATCGGATACATATTCTAATGAGGATACAATGTATTCCTCTTCACTAAAAGATAAGGTTGTTGGATGTCCTTTACTAAGTTTTGACTTTTCAGATAATCATATCCAGATAATGGTCAGATGGTCATAGAGGGTAGTGACAGGAATGTTATGCATTGATGAAGTTGCGCGTATTGAAGCACCTGCTTGAATTTTTGCTATGACTAACTCAATATCTTCTTAAGTATATGAGGCAGATGGTTATTTTTATAATGACGAACCATCATGAAAACTGAAAAAATTCAGAAAAAAAAATCATGTAAAATGCATATTTAAACATAATAGTTCACTGTCATAAAAAAAGTGATACAGTAAATATTAAAAAGTAAAATAAAGAAACCAAGTAAAACAATGGTTGTCTGTAAAAACATAATTTATGAAAATTATTTGGTTGACAAGTTCTCAATAAAACAAACAAACCCAAGAAGTTGTTTAAGCAGAAACCGCAATCATTATGTTATAACATAAATGAGGTTTAATTAACTTAATTTAACTAATTACTTATAACTTTATTTATAAATTTTAAAATAAATGTATAGGTTTACCGACCAAGTATAAAAGTATAGGTTTACCCACCAACTTCAGCAATGTTTGGATTAGCCCCATTTTTCTAATATCAAAATTCTGGTGGAACAGTTTTAAGTACAAAAAAAATGGAACTCCCTGACAAATTTTATGTTTAATTCTGATATTAACAGCTCTCTTAATAAAAAAATGGATTTATTTTCTAAAACTGTGGTGTTTTTTAAAGTATAAATATCATACATTGTAATTCCACAATTATACTTTATAGAGATCAAGTTTAATCAGAATTTGATACTTTTTAAATAAAACTTAAAATAGGTCAGAAAAACTGTTTGGACTGAAGCCCAGGACTACACTATTATTAACACAAAATAAAAGTTTTTTTCGCAAAAACATTGCATTCGCTATTAATCCATATATTTTTATTTATACAATTTCGAAAATTAAAAAAAAAGTCAGACCTAATCTGCGTAGGAAAAAGTTCAACAGTCCACGTGTATATAGTGTCATAGGAGAGAGCGACAAAAAATTTGCCAAATAATCCAATTGCCACTCGAGTGTTTATAAAAGCTAAAAGATTAATTAAAAGTAAAAAAATTTTTTAAGTGAGATTGATATTAACAAAAACAATTTTAATTACAAAAACATTGACATACATTGTCGAGTTTCTTTCTCATCAATAACAGTCACCAATGCACAAAACAGACCAGCTAAAAGCATAGGATAAACTACAGTGGATTTTCGACCAACGCTAAAAAAGAACTAAGAACTAAATTTCATTCAAAGCAAAGCTTTGAATAAAATTAAGATAAAAAGATACAATTCAACATACATTAATAAATTTTTACAAATGTGTTTACAAAAATTGGCTATACTAAAATATGACTGAAAAAAAAAAAGAAAAAAAAATCCATTGAGTACGATTGGAATTCTATTAACAATTTTCACTCACATTATTTAGTGGATTAGTTTAGTTAGGCTTGAATAAAAATCTATTAAATTTTATTATTTTGAAAATATTTAACAGCTAACTCATCGACTAATTAGCGCTAACGAGCGCTTTACCACTACACCACTATTTCATAATAATCTTTAAGATTAAATTTTGATGCAACAAAAGAGCGTTGCATGCAACAACACTTTAATATTAGAGAGGTAAAAAACAAAATATTAGTGAGATTGTAAATTGACAACTTTAAAGGGATTCCAAAGTCAAAACTTGCCTCCTTTATTATTTCTTGGTTTTATATAATAAAAATTTAATTTAAATTTAAATGTTATATTCAAAGTAATTTTATGTGTTTTAACTAATTTTGTTGTTTATTTATGCAAATAATAATTGAAAAATAAAAGTAAAACAAAAAAGTTTTCATCAATGCAGGAGTGTACATTAATAACCTTATTTCTATTTTCACCATAATCGTTGTAATTTTGTCACTTTTAAAACTTCAAGTAGAAAAATAAATAATACAAATTATATATAATATATTCTTACATAAACAAATAATATATATTTCGTAAAGTTGTGAAAGTATGCTAACTTTTTAACATAAAAATCAAGATAAAGATTTATACTTACAATTGTTAAAAACAAGTTGTGCAACTGAAATTTCAAAACAAAATATTATTTTATTTTCAAATTATTTTATTTTTAATTATATCACAATTTTTTTTTTACAAACATGAGGCAAATAAACATGATAAGCTGATTTTGGGAGAAAAAATATTTTATCTTACAAAAAATAAATTCACAATTATGTCATATGCTGAAACTTTTATGAATCAAATGCGCATGAAATAAATTAGGCAGTCTACAGATTGTGACATATATTATAAAGGCTCCAAGCACCAAGAAAAAATGAAGAAGGCAAGCTTTGACTAAAACAACTGTTTTAGTTTTATTGTTATGTATTTATTACTTAGTTTTAATCAAAAAAACTTAACCCAAACACCTTTTTTTAAACATTTTCTTTATTATGAACAAAACTTGTCTTAGCACTTAAGGATCCTTTTAAAAATCAAATGAGTAACAGTGCAATGTTGCATTTTTTTGTCCCAGTTATTGCTAATTGTAAAATATTTTTTTTACAACTTTAAGTTGAATATTGGGAATGAGGAAACGGCATTGCTTACAATGTAATGTTATGATGTTACAACGCACCAAAATCTCTCTTATATATTAAATCACGACAATAACAAAAAATACAATAAATAATTAAAAAAATCAATAATTGTTTTTATATTCCTTTTTACAAATATTTACTTTGATTTTCAAAATAATTTTCCACCAATCAAATCTAACCTCTTGCAAAAATTCACAAGGCCTAGTAGCTTTTTGTAATAATAATTCAAATTTGGCTGTTGTTATTTTTAAATCACAATGTAGGCAGTTATTATTTATTATTATTTTGGCATTAGGCACACACTTCACCTAAACATATATTTACGCATTTATTGGTCTATTTATTGTCAAATCAAATTTGAATCATATGACTGCTCTTCTATGTGCTTTGTTCATCTTTGTTCTATTTGTTCCCTCTTTGTTCTATATTGTTCCCTCTTGGTTCTATATTGTTCCTTTTTGTTCCTTCTTTGTTCTATATTGTTCCTCTTTGTTCCTTCTTTTTTCTATATTGTTCCTCTTTGTTTTATATTAATCCCTCTTTGTTCTATATTGTTCTTCTTTATTCTATTTGTTCCCTCATTGTTCTATATTGTTCCTCTTTGTTTTATAATAATCTCTCTTTGACCTATATTATTCCTCTTTGTTCTATTTGTTCCCTTTTTGTTCTATATTGCTCCCTCTTTGTTCTATATTGTTCTTCCTAGACTAGAAACATTTTAAGATTGTTTCAGCCCTTTCACATCAGTCAAAATCACTGTTACCATGGTTACTTTAATGCTCATTATACTGAACAATTTTACTTTACATTAAGAAAAAATCAAAAATAGTTGTTATGTGTAATTAAGAGCAATATCTTGCTAATAAGTGGTAAATTTATTTATGGTGAATGCAATATGATTATTCAGTAGGTGATTACAAACAAATCAATAACTAAGTTTATTATTAAACTAACTTTTTATTTTTTTTGAAAAATACTATTGGCATTTTGAAAATGCCAGCTCTTTTGCAATACTTGTTTAGAAAAACATTTGGTAATGTAATTATGGTATCTCAAGAAACTCTAAACACTAAATTGATAAAGAAATCAGGACCTGTTTGTGTTTTGAAATTGACAAAACTTCTGTTGTTAGTTGAAACAAAAAGTTAGCTAACTTTTAATTTTCCAAGATCTAAATTTATCAGATTCCCATACATTGAAGCAATAAAAAATTCTAATAAATTCCTTTTTGCATAACTAACAAAAGATTTACATGCATTAAAAGCAAAAACATGAACATTACCTATTATATTCAGAAAAACCATCAAAAAAAGAACATCTACTTTAGAATTGTTTGTAAACTTGCATTGACATAATTGCATTCAGGGAAAAAATATAAGAATGATATTTAGTGTGTTATTATATTATATGATTTATATGATATTATGTTAAAAAGATTAATTACTTAATTTTTTTTCAGAGTTCCTTATTTCTTGGACAGATACATGATAATTTCCAACAAAAAACTGTTTATAAGAACCAAATAATCCAAAAAACTGTATAAAACTTTTCTACCAACACGTAGGAGAAATAAAAACCAGTTAATATAGTAATGGTGTTATGTTGCTGCTCAAAATTTTTATGCTTCTTAACCTCACAAACTTTTAACTTAGTGACTTCTTTTACAGACAACATTTGATTCCCTCTTTGATTTGTGTTCTCTGTACATAGACTGTGCTTAGTTTCTCCTCATTCTTGATAATTTTATAAAAATAAGGTAAAGTGGTATAACATTGACATAACAATAAATAATACAATGATAATAGGAAACATATTTTTTATCTTGATATGATGAAATTATTTTTATATAAAATATAATTATATCCCTAATTATGTTTGATATGTTAATTTATGATTAAAAACATTTTCTTAACAATACCTAAGAACTGTCAAACTATTAGGCTCTACAACACATTCATAACTCAACATCTGACTCCTATGAAATTATACAGTACTATGCAACATCATTGGATTTGAACTTTTTGGACAGTAAAAAGATGCAGTAACAAGATGCAGCAGAAAACTTATTTATCTTTATACCATGCATCCAAAGTAGAATTAGGGTTAAATTTATTTATCCTGAACCTTAATCCAATTCATAAAAAAGATTTTAGGAAATCAAGGGACTTTGTACCATTAGTTTAATCTTACTATATTAATGCAAGATAAATGTATCCTACTATATGGACTCAAGAGGAGCAACTCAAATACATCAGCACATTTCAATATTCTGCAACAATTATATCTGCTAAAAATATTTTTTCACACAATTTTTAGCAAAAAGCCTTTTGAAAATTAAATTTCAATCCACTCAAAATCAATCTAGGGTTCACTGGCCAAAAAGATATACCCTACAGAAAAATTAATTTACGGAAAAAATGGTACCCAAGTATCTTTTAAATGCAAATTTATACTCATTGTTATACTATTCATTATATAAAGTCTAATATAAATTTGCATTGTATTATATTATCTGGTCTTTTTGTCATAACGATAAAAATTAAAATAGTACTCATAAAACTTTATAAAATCTAAAATATCTGAATTTGTATTTATTACTGCTGTAGAAAAGTCTAAGAAGGAAATCACTTTAGATACAGTAGCTGGAGTGATACAAATGTCTTGCAATGGACCTACCTGTTTAACGGCTAAATCAGGTATAACCCAACTAGTGAAATCAAGAGATGATATTGATGAAACGTTCTTAGAAAACAAATCAGCCATATCTTTAGGTGAGGTAAAAAAGTCTGAACCATACAAGAGAGGTGGAATAAAAGATTTGTCCTTATTATTGGTACTATTAAAGATTCTCCAGAAGCGGAGCCTAACCTTTGTGATGAAATACGAGATTTCATGACCTGAGAATAGCGTTCGGGATTGAGTTAGAGATTGAGAAAAGCAAAAGTTGTATGCTTTAACACCTGCAGAGTCACTGACACTAGAGCCAAGCCATTTAGTGTAATTAGCATTAAATTGGCTGATGGATAAAAAGAGAGGTCTTGGTCAATATGATCAGAAATAACATCAAGAAGAGTGCAGTCTTGAGATAAAGGAGAGTGATATAGAACAAAGAGAAAGGCGATAGAGTGAAGCGATGCTAAACAAAAAACATAAAAGAATAGTCTGTTGATTCAAACCTAGTTTCCCAACAAATGGGTGATATCTTAAGTATGTAAATGCCCCGGCTAAGTATATGATTATTTGAGTCTTTACAAATTAAAGGAAGATAACCATCAACATTAAGATCACAAGATGAGACAGCTGAACTCAAATTAGTCTCATAAAGAGCAAGTAAGTCTGGTGAACTTTTCAAGAGACTCAACAGAAGAAAAGTTATTTAGAAGACCACGAATATTTTTTTAATAGACCAAACAATAACCTCATTACTATTAATAAATCCTAATCCGAAACAAAGGGCCTCAAATCCACACCAAAAGTACAAACAGGGACACCATCCATGCACAACACGGCACTGTTAATACTGTGATATTTTTCAACTGTTGATGGAATCAGCCTCTCTGAGAACTACCACAGAGTTCAGGAAACCTGACTACCAGCCAGCCTCAGAACCAAAAAACTGAGTTTTAGAGTTGTACCCTCATTAGGAGATAACAGAATGAGTTGCCTTGCCATAAAAACAGAGACACAAGCAAAACCCATGCATTGAGTCAAGAAGATCCCGCATTCAACAATGTATTTTAATACATTGTTTCCTAAACTGGAAACAATGTATTAAAATACATCTGCGCCAGCCTAATAGATGAAGGAGTTTTATAAGTAAAATTATTTTAGCATAAAAATTTCTATTAAAATATAAAAACATAACCAAACATGTAACCCAAGCTTTTTCAGGAGTGGTGTGCAGTTGCATACCTTTTATAACCATGCTTATAATATTTTGTTTTGAAAACACAGCAAATTACTACCATATAATATATATATATATATATATATATATATAAAAAACAGTTATATAGATATATATATAAAACAGTTATATATATATATATAAAAAACATATATATAGAAACAGTTTAGAATATAAAAAAGAAAACACTTAAGTTTACCATTGAAAACTTTTTAATCTTAAATCACTTCCCTAAGGCTGAAAAGTGGAGAAGGTTATTATATTATATTATATATTTAATATATTATAGGAGAATTATTTCAATTAAGGTAAAAACCCTCTCTCAACTCTATAACTCCAAAACACAAACAAGTTGAATGCAGCACTACCAGGGACATGGTTGGATCTAACTTAAACTTTTTGCAGATCTAACTCGAAATTTATGAAGCGAGCTCTCTACCACTACACCACTACAGAATTACTTATATTATGTAACTTACATTATGTAACTTATCACTACTTCATTACTTACATTATATAACTTAAAAACACTATCATGTCAAAAAAAAAAAAATAATAAATAAATAAATAAATAAACAGCAAAAAATTTGTTATGCAAGAATGAAGAATGAACTAGTTGTGTAAAAAAAAAAAAAAAACTCACTATGTGGCTCCAAGAATACCAATTAAAGCTGCAGGCAGCTCAACTAAACTTGATAAAATGAAATTGCGATAAAAATGATTACTTAAGTTATCAGCAGCAAACGACAATCCATAATAAACAAGTCCATTTATAAACCTAAATTAATTAAAAAACTGCAGTTATTAATAACAATAGACAACCCTCTCTCCCAACCCTCTCTCAACTCATAATTTTTAACTTCATTGAAAAAAAAAAAAAAACTACAAGAAATTTAGAAAACTATTTTTTTTCTTTTAAACTGATAGATTGCCTGCCTAAACTAAATCCCTCAGTCAATGTAGCAGTACCTCTAGTATTTTTTATCTATTTCTCAGCCAATGCATGTTAAAAATAGTTAAAAAAAAAAAAAAAATAAATAAAATTCAAAATGTTTTTATTTTTATTAAAAAAATATAACATTTGGTTTTGTGGTTTTTTAAAAAACTATAAAATTAAATTAGTTTCCTCAATTAAATTTAAGGGTTTTTACATAAAGTGATTTTGTCTCTTTTAAAGACAAAAAGTTGTTAAGAGCTGTTTTTTACAATAAATTGAAAATTTAGATGTCAAACTTTAAGAATATATATATACATACATGTATATATATATATATATATATATATATATATATATATATATATATATATATATATATATATATATATATATATATATATATATATATATATATATATATATATATATATATATTCTTCATTCAGACTTGTTAAATAAGCAAGTATTGTTTTATAATATTTTCTAGGCAATTAAATTAAGACAAGTCGTTTTGAGAATTTTGAAAATATGTAGATAAACAACGACCTTTATGAAATCAGGAAAGACAATAATATAAAAATATATCCATTTGACAAAATATCTGGATTAGTGCGAATTAATTAGCGCTTTAGCCAAAACACAAGAACATTTAAGAGGTAAAACAAAAAAACTCCACAAGTCATTCGTAAAGTTCAAAAAACACTCAGAAAACTAAATAAAGCAGGTAGATTTATGGTTAAAAAATTTAAAGATCTTTACGTGGGTGATGCAATACCATCTCGTTTTTACGGAGTCATGAACCCAAAAACCTGAAAAAAACTACCTGATGCAAGTTATCGTAAGCATTATTGGAATGGCTACATATATTTCAAAATTCTTAACTGATATGATACAATCCATCCTCAATAAGAACAATACACATTAAAAAAACTCAACAATTTATAAACTTAGTTAAATTATGGAATATTGGCTTTTGATATCATCAATTTATATCCTTCAGTCCCAGTAAAGAAAGCAATAGTTGTCTTTATTGAGAGATTTAAAAAAATCCTAGCATTACATCAAAATTTACCTTTGACGAAATAAAAGCACTTTTAGATACATGCCTTTTGCATTGTTATTTTTTATATGAACAGGACATAGTAACTGTATTTTAACTGTTATTTTTTATATGAACATGACATAGTAACATGACATAACTAGAAGATTCTTGACCTATTGGTTTAGGACATGCTATGGTAGTAGTTGCTGAGTATTTACAGTTTCAAGAAAGTAATGCGCAAGCGATTTTCAATAATCTTTATGCAAAGTCATTTGAAAAGTATGTCGATGACTCCCATACTCATTTAACTTTACTGAAGATGCAAAAAGTATTACTTAATAACCGACATAAAAATATTTACCATGGAAATCGAAAATGAAAATAAAACGCTAAGTTTTTTTGACACAACTGTTATTAACAATAAAACTGGTATGTACAATTTTAAAGTTTACCATAAAGATGCCATAACTAGCGTTTAAATCAAACCTAACTCATTCTACAATCCAAAAATTATAAATGGAGTTTTCAAAGAATTTGTTCATAGGGCATTATATTTATGCTCTGATAATAATATCGAACTAGAATCATTATTTCAAACTAATGTTTTTGTAAAAAATGGATATAAAAAAACAAGCTTGGAAAATATTAGAAAAACCATTAAAAAAAATTTGCAAAATAAAAATGAATAAATATTGAAACTCAACATTTATACATTTATCAAAAAAACTTGAATGCTCCTGCAAAAAATGTTATATTGGTGAAATAAAATTAAAAATCTCATGAGAAATGGAAATGGAAAATGAGACACAGGAAAATAGAATTATTTAGCAACAGCGGATCATTCAAAAAAATGTCATGGTAATTTTGCATGGAACAATAAAAATACTTTTGAAAATACTAAAAGTTGAGGCTAATAATCTTAATAGAAAAGTGATGGAGGCACTTAAAATACAACGCCATAAATGTGCACCTTCAAACGGCAGTCTGAATGAGGATGATGGAGGTTACACTACAACTTGCTTTTGTAAACCTTTGTTTCAATATTTGAATCAAAAGAAACTATTGCATTGATTTGTTTTTGTTTTGTTTTTAATGATTTTTTATAATTCACTTGATAATGAGAGTATCTCTTGAAATATTGTGAAAAAAAAAAAAAAAAAATTCATAAATAAAGAGTTAATCCTTAGTAGAAGTTTTTATTTAATTATATTTAATAACTTTTTACTCACTTAAGTACATCGGTTTATAATATCATATATATCCTAATTTAATATATAAAGAGCATATAACATTTTTTAGTGAAATGTAATTTTATTTTGTATTTTGCTAACTAAAAGCAAGTTTTAATTGCACCAAATTACAAATTCGTAAGAATGGCATCTGAAGCAAAAAAATTAAAAAACTATTAAAAATTTTTTTTTTCAAGCTTTTAGATTAGTTTTTTTACTAAAAGTTAGAGAACTAATATCTAAGAACTTAAAAACTTTTTCGATAGAAAAAGATAGTTACTGTGGATACACAGAGGAAAATGGATTAGTTTTATATACTTATACATTTGTGTGTTTATGTTCTATATCAACCTCTGGTGCGACGTTGATTCATCCGTAAGTAAATTTATATATATATATATATATATATATATATATATATATTTTTTTTTTTTCTAAGTTAATTCACTTCCTCAAGGCACAGTGGGCCAGAATTCACTTTTACTGGACAAAATTCATAACTAATTTAATATTAGGGCTATATTCACTATAATTAGCATGAGTACTAATAAGATATCTGTGCTTTTTTATGAAGGTAATATTTTTTTATTTTGTTGCTATGGATACCTTTATTTTGCTTAGCAACAACCTATTTTTGTTATCTGCAGAAATTTTATGAGTACTATATTCACTAAATTCAGCATAAGTAACAATATGATATCACACCTTATAAAAGTAATAATTTTTACAAATTTAGTTGCTATGGATACTTATATTGCTTAGTTGGCAGATACTTTCCTTAGTTACAAAGTGGTAAATGATTTTTGATTAAATTTTATCAGATTTTTGACCCACATTTATTGAATAACAATTGAGTATTTAGGTAAAACACGTTTTAGGAATAATAAAAACAAAAAATTGTACAAGAAAACTTTAAAGATTGTTTAAGTAAGTGTAAAACATCTGAAGGAAATGCTTTATGATTTGTTCAGGATCACTAAAAACTAAGAATCTATTATTAAGATCAGTTTTTGTTGCTCTTCAAGATATTTTTCAGATGAATTTTCTTGATTCGAAGTCTTTATTTCTATCCTCTTGAGCTTCCTCTGCCATACATCTGATGGATAATGTAAGGTTTTTAACTATATCATGTCTATGTATCAATACTTTGAAAACTGATTGAGCTATGTAATACCATGGATAAAGGAACACATATAGTTTAAGAGTGTCAAAACAATAATTCTTGAATTTTAAGCAGTCTATTTCATATCCTAAAGAGAGTGTTATCAAGATATTGTAAAATCTGAATATAAGGTTTTAATCAATAGCCAGAATTTCAGTTGTTTGCTCATATGCTGCAAAAGCTCGCCTTGAGGTATTGACATCGTTGCTTGTTCCAGAACCGCCACTTTTAGAGAAATCAACAACAAGTTCCATATTGTTCATCAAGCGCTTCATCAAGCACTTCTGGATGTAGACATCTTGATTGATCGCTTGGCATGAAGGTATCACCAGGTGCTTCGGCAGGCCGTCCTCAAACATAGCAATCCAAACAAGTACTTTTGGCTCAAACTTGGACTTTCGCTTGAGTTTAACAGCTTCTGGAGTCATTTCGATGTTAGATGTGTAGAAACCAGCGTTTCCAGATAGCTTGTTATTGCTTAACAAAAACTAGGACTTGTCGTAGATGATCACCTGATTTTTCAGGAAAACTCTGGCCAGGTGGGCACACTTCGGACGAACGGCTGACTTCTGTTGTGGAGTTCAATCCGAAACTTTTTCCTTCTTTTTGTATTTGATTATTGTCTTGGTGTTAATTGTTTTTGATATGTGCTTTTGGATGATACCATACTCGCAGGCTAGCTGACGCTGGCTAACTCCGTCACTATGATCGAATCGCTTTTTCAGCATGGTGATTCGCTTTGCGTTTATCTTAATTGCCGCCTGTCCAGTTCAACGCTGTCTTTCAGGGCCTATATTGAGCGCCTTGCGCTGCAGAATATTATACAGGGTCGACCTTGATGCGCCTTCGATCATAAAGTGTCTCACAATCTCACTTTTCTTTATATCCGGATGCAAATGGATTAACACGTATACGCGCTTTCTGAGGTCTTCCTGTTTTGAGATAATTTTCTTTGCTGTTATAAATAATTGTTTGCTAAAAGATATATAAGACAATTAAATTTACTACAACGTAGCATAAGTTGCAACAATTTTGCAACACTCCTTAAACAATTTATGTCGACCGAACTTTTGTCCGGATTTCTAGGTATCACATGTTATTTGAACAAGAAGACCATATTTGAACTCTCTGTTATTATAATCTATATTAAAGATATCAAGACTATTCATATTTTTTGAAGAGACACCACACACTGAACAGTTAGTTTTTTCAGATATTATTGTTTGAACCTTCCCATCAATCATTTGTAAGTTCAATAATACAATTCACTTCAATAGAAAATCTGGAAACTTCTAATAAGATCATGCCCAAGCTTTCTACCTCACTTTTGATGTACTGATCTTCTTCAATCACAGATTCCTTGGATTCCATTTTGTATGCAAATCTTATGGGTCTACAATAAGCTGTGGATGACGACTTTTGATTTCTCCAAATAAGCATCTCTTGTTGCTGTTGTTAAATCCAGTCAAATCCAATGGGACTAGACAAGTAATAAATAATGATTCTTCACACTTTAAATCTCTGTTCATGTCAGGTTCTGATAAAACTTGTTTATAAATGCTTTGGCCAGTAGCACCATTAAAACCACCCTTACACGCGAGTGTCATTGTTTTTATTGATTTGTCATTCAATATCAAGTGCCTCAGTGCAGTTCCTGAACTGCACAGATTCTTTGCAAAATATGAATCATTAAATCTTTTAAAGGAACTGAAGCTAATATTTTTATGTTTTTAATAAGCAAGAAAGCAGTATTATGGTATTTTAATATTAAAGTTACTACTTTTTTTTCATAAAAGGCAGTATAGTATATATACAATAGGGGTAGTCAAAAAAAAGTAAATTTTTAAATCTAAAAAACCAAACCCCGAAATTTAGGGCAAATATATAAGAAATTAGCCTCAAAAAGTTAGAGCGCTAACAGATCACTTTTGACCCCCCTCAAGCCATTAATTTAAGGAAAAAACAACTGAAAACTAATCATTTTCAAGCATCTTGAAGGTATTTTTTTTTTACTATATATTTTAGTTTAAAGATGGTTTTTTTTTATATCTCAAAAATCCAGAAAATTGGTATTTTTTGTAGTTAATGTTAGGTTTATATGGCAATGAACTACTGCCAAAAAATATAAGCAATAGTTGGCTGTGACCACTGGAATTTCAGTTACCTCTATTTAAAAAACTGCTATTTATTTATACTGAAAAATCAAAATGAGTAAGGGTAAATAAAAAGATAAATGTATGTTTTAAATTTTACAATAACAACAATAAAAAAAAAATAATTTGATAATCTAATTAAATATCAAGTTTATCATTTTATCTTTATCAGACCAAGGCCATCATTAAATTGAGTTTTTGAACTTGTACTAGATTTTTGTTTTGATGATCTAAATGCAGATCAAACTTTATCTACTGTGAGCAATGTGTTCTTTTTTTCAGTTTTATTCAATATACTGTCCCACCATGTTTATAAACCCTTCTGAATAGTCATTTACAAAAGTCAAAGTTTCAGCACTTTATTGAAAACTTTTGAAGCATGACTGAGTATGCCAATAGTTTGGTGGAAGTGAGAGCCAGTCTTTAACTCATTGCTTATCAAGCCAAATCATGTCAAAAATCAGGTAAGAAAAAACATTAACCAAGACTGACAAAGATGGTGGTTTATTATATTTGTATCCATTTTACAAATTTCCTTGATATCATCTTTTACTTTATTCTCAGGGTTATAGTAGTCAGAGCTAGACATATCAAATGACAGAATTGCTGATGCAGTTTTTGCCTTCTCCTCTAATGCTAACTTATCATCTAGCAAAGCTAGAGGTATCATGGTCGAATACATATACCAACAATGCTTATACTGAGACTCTAATACAGCATCAACAGCTATTAGGTTTGTACATACAATCTTGTAAAGATACATTTGATGTATGGTCGTAAGATCAAGAAACCCAGCTTTAATGACATCCTCAGATTGTAGATACCATTTTGCATAAAAGCAAACAATGAATTCTGATAAAAGCTTAATTTCAGTTTTCAGCTTATCATTTTCTTGAAAAAACACAAGTTTATTGGATAGAAGTTAAAGCTTTAGATTATAAATTGCTTTTCCAAAAAATCTTGCATGATAATTGCATTAGTTTTTCTTACTTGATATGTAAAAGGGGATAAATAAGTGACAACTAATTCTGGAAACTTACTTCTATCATCTCATATAATACCTGGTTTACCAACATAATCTTTGCCAAATATGAAAAGAGGATTATCAGGTCCATTAGTTTTGTCATTGGTCACTAATTTCCAAAAATAAAGCATTCTTAATTCAGTCACATGATGTCTACAGGCTATTTTGAAAATTTATATAGTTCTTTAGTTATTCTGGAAACTGATCCTTTATTTGCACCGGTATTGGATGATGTTGTATCAAAGCATATTCCTCTAGTTTTTGATGTAAGTTGATAATCCTTAATTAAAATTTTTACACCTAGGAACTGATCTTCACCAGAAGATAATGATACCGGAGGTACTCCAAGTAGGTCTCTCCATTAAAATTAACGAAAACAGTCATTCTCTCCCTCTTTAATACTTTTCCTTTGTTTAGCTCAAATAAGGTCTTGCCATCAAAATGAACTATACATGGATACAGAGATGCATTGATAAACCTTAATATTTTCTTTTGTATTGATAGATATTTTTTAATTTTCTTTTTTCATTTTGCTATAAGCACTACTGGCTGCTTTTAACTTCTATAAGACCAACACCTGATTGGTATAGAATTACACTTGTTACCTTCTGTAAAACATTTGGCAATTTATCGCAGGCTGTAGCAGTAAGTGAAACATTACCACATAATTTGGAATTTTTTCAGTTACTGTATGTGATACCAATCACAGACTTCTATGTGATACCAATCACAGACTTCTATGTGATACCAATCACAGACTTCTATGTGATACCAATCACAGACTTCTATGTGATACCAATCACAGACTTCTATGTGATACCAATCACAGACTTCTATGTGATACCAATCACTTGGATCAAAATCAGATTTGATCAAAAATAGAAAAATGATGATGAGTATTTTTGAGTCCTTTTTTAAAATTGTGTCCATAAGTTTATTGTTGGGTATATCATCTATCAAACTCTTAGGCTGTAAATAATTTTTCTTCTTGATACTTTCTTTTGCCTAGTTTACAGAAAAATTATAGCTTTGGTTTTTAATTTTAGAATTAGTGAAAAAAAAAGAATAAATTAACAGAGGTTAATTATTTAACATAAAGCAAAATTTAACATTAATAATAAATTATTTAACAAAAAGCATTGACTGCCTTTTTTTTATAATTTTATAATTTTTTTTTTATAATTTTATATATATTTTTATAATTTCTGGTAAAAGAAAATTTGTTATTCACATTATAATCACATCATATTTATAATCACATCATATTTATAAATGTGCTTGACATAAATATCGGAATCCAACAGATATTTCTGACCTCACTTTCTTATGTATATTGCGTTGTTTGTTGGTGATGTATAAACAAGTTTGTGTGTGTGTTTATTTGATTTTTCTTGAATACTTTTAATTAAATTATTAACAATATTAATTTATTTAGTTAAAAGATAAATTTTATAAAAATTTGCTATGAAATTTGTTTAATTAAAAACAAATATTTTTTTAGGAAAAAAGGGGTGTAACATACAGAGAGTTTGTATAGACATTAGCTATACATATAAAAGATTTCTTAAAGCTATTAGAAAAAAACAATTTATAAATGTAAAACATAACATAACAAATTTAAAAAAATAATTACTAAACATTATTAAATATTTACAAACTAATAACTAAATAATAAACAATTATTTAAATATATTTAATTCACTATTATTAAAGAAATATGCAAACATATAATAATGAAGTGCTTAAATTTGTCAAGAAAAAGAATAGAATTGTTTTAAAGAAATTAAAATTATTCATACTTTAGCCAAATTAGATGGATAGCAGCCAACCTAACTATTACTTATTTATATTATACATTTTAATATTGTATATGTTTATGTAACATATTATGCAATTATATTAATCATACCAAGCAAAACTAATACTGAAGGTAGTAAATGCCATTTTTTTGGTATTAAACAACATCCATGGTTTTACAGATATTTTTTTTTCATTTAAAGGTAAAAGCTCTATGAGTAATGTTCCTTTTCCATTCATCTTACCAATTCTTTGAATATCCCGGTGTAGTTGTTCCAACTTTTTATTTAAATGCATCCAGCGTAGAGATTCAGGAACAAAACTAAAAATGCAAACTAGTAAATATAATTTTGTGAAATTATTCCTTTCAGTTAAATTAAAAAAAAAAAAAAAATTTAAAACTCAGATGCTTTCAGTTGAATTAAAAATATATATATATATTATATTAATATAATTATATAATATAAATTATATAATATAATTATATAATATTATATTAATATTATAATATAATTATATAATATAAATATTATAAACATAATTAATAATAATAATTAAAAATATTATCATAAAATTATAATCAGGAGCGTGCTAGCACCTTTTTTGTGGGATCAAAAACATTTTATGTTTACATTCCTTAAAATACAATTTCATTACATTATTATGGTAACTAATTAGGATTTATATTTTATTGTTTAAAGAAAAATACCTAAAAAATTAAAAAATATATGTATATATTATTATATTTAAATATATAATAATAATAATAATAATAATAATAATAATAATAATAATAATAATAATAATAATAATAATAATATATATATATATATATAAATATATATATAAAAAAATATATAAATATATATATATATATATATATATATATATATATATTGTTTTTTTTATATAGTTTATAGTTTTGTTTATATATAATTGTTTTATATAGTCTATAGTTTTGTTTGAATTGGCATTTTAACTAGTGAATTTTTTTACATGCTTTAAATTTTTCTTTTTCTTCTGGTCTTCAAACTTTTACCTTTTTAAAAACTTTAAACTCTGTTTTGGTCACTAATCTAAACAGCTGTTATTCAATAAAAAATATTTATATTGATCTTGAATTATGATATAAAATCTTATTGTAAAACTATATTTTTTAATTCTTCGAGAAAAATATTTTTTCTTTTCTTTTAAAACATTAATATTTTAATTCATTTTACAAATCATCAGATAAAACTAGAAAAAATAATAAATGATAAAGTATGATAAAATTATTAAAAAACAACAACAATCTAAAGGAACTTAGCGGTGATAAAAATATTTTAAATAAAAGAAATCATTAAATGAGATATAAAATACTTTTATATCTTACTTAAAGCATATTCAATATTTTCTTATAAATTAAATGCTCGTACCTCTTGCAGATATATTTTCTTATTAATAACATTTTTTTTTTTTTTTACAACTTTTTTATTTATTTGTTACTTGAATTACCTGGTGTTTAAAAAACAATGATTAAAAATATTTAAGTTTTGATTGTTATTTTATTAAGTTTTGATTTTTTTTTATTTGCATTCACTCCCAACAAGGCTGCAAGCAACCACTATTAAGTTGGGAGTTACTAGGAAAAAAAAGAACAGAGTTATAGAGCAAGTAAACGGTTGACAGAAGACTTGAAAAGTTGAAGGTTGTATGAGTCAGGAAAACATGAAGATGGGAGAGAGTTCCAAAGGATTGAAGTGCGGGGAAAAAAACTAGATGAATAAAAGTTTTTAGAGCATGCAGAGACAGATACAGCAAATGAATGAGACTTAGCTGAATGACGAGTAAAACGAGAATGAATTTTAGTTGATGAAACTAGAGATGATAACTCCTTTGAGCAGTGACCATGATAGTATTTGTAGAAAAGAGAAAGAGATGCAACTTTATGACGATAGGAAAGAGGCTCAAGCTTAGTTCACAGTTTTCAATAAACTAAGAATTTAATGACCAGAAATATTTTCAGATATTGCATTTCGCGACCACTTAATTTGAGCCTTGTAATGGAGGCCTCATTTTTAATTTATCTTCAATTTTAATTTTAATTCAAATTGAAAGTATACATAAAATGCTATAATTTCAACATACACAGATTTTAAAATTTTCATTGAAAAAAAAGTGGTTACTATTTTAATGTTAAACATTAGCTTCAGCATATTTGTGGTGACACTTCAATTAAATTGAGTACATTACATGATATAGATTTACATATTTTTATTTTTTAAAAACATGTGGGATTTGTATTTTTAAAATTCGCACAGTTCAAAAAGTTATTTTATTAGACTGTGGGGCTTTCTGGCCACAGTAATCTAATGATGAATAAAGATGAAAGTCAATTAGATTGACTTTCATCATTAACACTGTTGAACAATATTAGTATTACATACTTTTCCAATTTTATAAAGTCAGTAAAAACATTTAATAACATAGATGTTTTAAGTAAACTGGTTAGGACCACTAGCGGTTTTTAATAATGTTTTAATATATGTTTTAATAATGTTTTAATAATTTTTTAATATTATTTTTTCTAGATGCTTTTCTACTCTAATTAATGTTACAAATTACAAATGTTGTTTGAACAAAGAACTTTAAAAGTGATTAGCGCTTTATAAAAGTAATAACACCATCATAGTTTTATTATTTTATAATGCAGTTAGTGACTAAAGTGTTATTACTTTTATAGTTGGTCAGGGTTAGGGTTTATTGTTTATTGTTTTATTTTAAGTTTATTGTTTTATTTCGTATAACTTTTTCGGAAAATCATTCTTTTTATTGTAGACTAAAAACTGTTGGTTTTTTATTTTTGCTTTGCCTTATCTAATTTTGTTGCTGAATGTAGCAACCACTTTAAAGAAACAAAAATGAAAACAGCACACAAATTATTTAAATTAACAATTTATTTTTAATTTCTTCTATTTAAATTTCTTTTTATTTCCTATTTTGTTAGTTTTGGTTTTTTTGTTTTTCCACAATAATTATTTTAAAACTTGCAAACCACCCTGACCAAGTTGTCTAAAATAAAATATTTGCGTGTGGTAATACAAGACAAAAACCTGCACGTGTTTCCCAAACTTGGAGGGTTGCTTATTAGAGATATGCTGAATCATATTGCAAGGTAAAAATATATTTTGTTTATTTGTTTTATTTTATTAAATTTATTTTTTAATTATTTTAAATATGCATATATCATTATAAATTTATAAATATTTAACTTAGCTACTCTAACTTATTATAAGCATGTATTTTTTATAAATACTTTACAATGTTATAAAAATATGCATACTAACTATTATGCTTATAGTTACTTCAAAGAATCATATACAAAATCATGGAGTTGGATCATCAAAACTAAGTGATCTCTGAGTTTTGAGGATCAAAACTATGGAGCTCATAGAAAAAAGAGTCATCTTGTGCGCAAATGCCTTATATGCACATATCGGTAATTTTTTTTATTTTTATGTTGTGCTTGGTTATTCAGGTTTTAAATTAACGATTGTTGTTTTTATACCCTTCAGATTTATTCTGCAATCGAGGGCATTAGGAGGATCTATAGAAATGAAGAGTACGTTCCTTATATATTACCACATTCCTTATATATTACCACATAACAACACACAAACAAATTATTGATATTTTAAAATGTTACAAAAATGCATAACATTTTATTAATAGGACTTTTTTTCCTGAACAATTAAAATTGAATATAATTATTTTTCATTACAATTATTAGCTAACTTTAAGTATTTTAACAATATTACAACTGATATAATAAGTAATTTAAGTGACATAACAAGCAATTATTTTTTCCAATATTGATTATTTTTGAGGTCAATTTTACAAACGGTTGCATTTTGTTATGCAAAATACTAATAATATGCTAGCGCTTGAAGTTTAACACTTTGAATCAACAATGTTAAAGCATTTAACTTGTGAAATAAATATAAAGCAAAGAGATATTATTTGTAAATTTTTTTCAGAATGTATTAAATTAAAACAATTCAAAAAAAAGACCCTTCTAGAACAAATAGCAATAGCCCATGCAGTATTTCTGCATCGATTCTGGGGCCAGCAAGTCATTGATTCCGGGGCCAGCAAGTAACTTCTTATAATGATACAAACATTTTTTTTAACATTTAAGTATTGATAAAATTAAGTCTTCAAGGTAAAAATATTTTTTAAAGGTATTATAATTTTGTTGTTTAAATAAATATATTTCAAAAATATATTTTTTATATACATACTTAAGACAATCAAGAAGAGTAAGAATTATGTAGTTTTTAAAAATTTAAAGTTTATAAGTAAAATAGTAAAAATTGTATACACTTACAATAAAAGTGGAATAACCAAAAAATAAGGAGCAGTCGAAAAAATCATAAGCATCTTCCATTTTCTAACTTTCATTGCAACCAAACCTAACATCACTAGTGCAAGAGTGAAGAAGAACCACAATATGATTCCAGCAGCGGGGCGATACCGCAATCCTACCAACTCTGAGCTCAATATAAACATCATAGCTATATTTATACTTCCAAAAAAGCCAACAACAAATCTGGAGCATGCAAATAACCAGTAGGTTGGTGAGAAAGCACTAACAAATGCTACGCTTATAACAATGATGTTACATGGAATCATCATTCGTTTTCTACCATATCTTTAACAAAAAAAATTCCTTGTCATATTTTATAAACATTCAAACATATGAAGATATAATATATATAAAAATTAATATTTTACATTTTATTGCATAAAACTTTTTTAACTTAAAAGAAAAGGAAATATTAGAATATTTTTTGAGAATAATTTTTTTTTTCATAAAAAATTATTTTCAAATTTTTATTTCATTTTGCTTTTTTTGAGTACCAGTTTGACATATTTTTGAAGATTTTTTCAATAATATTAGGATTTTATCAAGGATCTTAAGCAATCCCTTAAAATAACTTTTTTTCAAAAAATTTCAAAACAATTTTATTTATTATATAGAACACATTTAGGGGGTTTGAGAGGATTTTTTTCCAAAATCTTATTTTTAAGATAAAATTATATGAAATAATATTTCAAAAAACCATCTGCAAAGCATAATAACTTATTTACTTTTTAAATATAAAATGTCAGACAATAGTTCAGAAATTAATACTTTTTATTCTTATAACTTTCAGCTTTTCTTTTTCTTTCACTTTTTTGCATGATCATTAATAGATTTTTTAAGTGTTTTGCACCATTCACGGGAGGTGATGTTTTTTTTTGAATTTATATTATAAAAACGTTATACAACTTTTCTGTTTTTCTGATTGATTCCATTTTGAAAATTTTTTAAACTTTTATAAACATCTAAAAATTTCGATTATTTAATTTTTAAGAAAAAGGATTTATATTTGAAAAAGTTAATTTTAATAAGTTAAATTTTTTTAGCAATATCTTGTGAAAATTTCAATTATAGGAAACATATTTGTTTAAATGCAAGCGTTGTTGTATTTAAAATTTTTTTAATAATTTTTTTCAAAATAACAACAAAAAACATGCTAAAATTTCTGGAAAATTAAAGGAGTTCAAAGTGAACTTCCGGAAATCCAGAAATTCCCGGAAAAAGCTTATCTATGAATTATGTTTATAATATATAACTTCTCTTAGATAAAAAAATAATTCTGTCTTAAAAAAGAGCATAAAAAAAAAAAAAGTCATCAAATACAAAAAATACTCTATTTCATCAAGTACAAAAAATATTGTTCATTATAAGATATAAAAATATACTTCTTGATACAAATAAAAATTTTAATAACGCAGTTTCAAATTTTCAGTTGTTTTTCAGTCTGTCATTATGGAACCTAATTTTTTTTTGATCACTTGTAAATTATAAGATTCTCTAAATTTTTGAATAAAATAATTATAAAAAATTGAAAACATTTTTTCAAAGAAAAAAAATATATTGTTTGTTTTTTTACTAATATCATAAATAATAAACCCTCATTTCTTATTTTGAAAAGATCCAAAAACACATTGTAAATATAGTTAGATCTACTATAGCTGCCAAATGCGAGCCACTGTCCTCTTGTCGTAAGCTTGCATCTCTTTCTCTTTTCTACAAATACTACCATAGTTGGTGCTCAAGCAAGCAATCATTACTTGTTACATCAACCAAAACACAATATTACTTGACTCATCGTTCAGCTGTTGCATCCTTTTAATGTTAATGTTCCTTTATGCCCAAAAAAGTTTTTTCCCATCTCGATGCTTTTAAAACATATACTATTTACGGTTTATTTTTATGTTTTTTATCAATTTCTTTCTTGCTCTTCAGCTCTGTTTATTTTTTATTAACATAAATCTGTGGTTCCCAACCTTTTCTAGCCCGTTCCCCAAAATATATATCATAAAATCTTCATGGACCCCCTTCTTTTAAAAATTATTACAAGGTAAAAATTTAATAATGTAATTATTATTCATTAAGATAATATTTTATTTAAGATATTTGTAAATAGACTAGACTATCAATGACACACAAATATTTTATTTAAGGTATTTGTGAATAGACTAGACTATCAATGACACAAATACTTTATGGTATTATTCTTTAACTCTATAAATTCTCCTTGTGCTTCCTCTTTTACATTTTTTACATCACAAGAAAATGGTGACATAATAAATTCACTGCTCAAAAGGTTCATATCTGGAAAATAATTTAAATTTTGAAACATGATAAAATTTCCATTATTAATCATAGTTTTATACAGTTTAAGCTTTTCAATAAATGTTTAAGTTTATCTGAGAGTGCAATGATATTAGCATTTTTGCAGTTGACAAGCAGTTCTATTTAAAAATTGTCATATTCAAATTGTTCCATCTTTTCATGCAACATTTTTTTCAAAAAATTTCCAGTCATCGCACTGAACTATGAAACAATAACTCAGCATCTAGTCAGAGCTCAGAGCTCAGCATCTAACAGCAGAAATTTGACAGCAAATTTCTGCTGTCAGATGACAAATTTTTCCATAATATCAGCTGTTTTTGTTATTGTTTTAAGGAAAGAAGAGAACAAAAATTCTACCTTGATTTTGTTATTGTGAATATACTAATGAAATACATGTGCCATTAAACTTACATCTGTGGACTCATCCAAATGAATAGAAAAATATGGTGATTCTTTAATTTCATTAATAAAATTTTCTTCAATATTTTATAAATTGTCAGTTAGCCTTTGAATAAAACTTTTTTTTACATTTAGACATCTAAAGTATTTAAGAATAGTATAAAAATTATAGATGCATCATGTAAATAAGTATTTAAAAATAATATAAAAGTTATAGATGTATAATGTACATTATAGATGTATAATATACATTATAGATGTATAATGAAAATATTCAATTGAGATAATAGTAGTATATTATTGAATTTTTATAGAAAATAACACAAATTACTTTCTTTCAAACAAATCAGTAAAATTATTTTTATCATAAGATAAGATAGTTTTATCTAGCATTTAATGAAAGAATTATTATATTATATAGCATAATTCATAGCCAACCATTACAAAATAATAAATACATTTATTAATTCGTTGTGGTCTGCACTACTTTGTAGTGCAGACCACAACGAATTAATAAATGTATTTATTTAGATGTAATGGTTTATATTTTTATTTAGATGTAATAAATGTATTTATTTAGATGTAATTTAGAATTAATAAATGTATTATTTAGATGTAATGGTCTGCACTACAAAGTAGTGCAGACCATTACAAAGGTTAACGTTGAATTGGTTAACACAGATTTTTTTGAAAAAAGTTTTCTAGCATAAATTACATTTTTAACTTAAGATTTAATTTGTTCATTTCAATAGAAAAAACAACAAAATAAAATTCTATAACCGAAAAAATGTTTAGAATTTATGTTTATCTTGTGGTCCCCTTTGAAAATTCTCAAGAACCCCATCCCCTCAGGGACTATTGGTTGGGAACCACTTATTTAAATTGTGGTTGCTTACAGCTTTATTAGGAGTTAATTAGTTCAAAAAACAATAACAAAAAAATAAAACAAAACAAACAAGCATTTATTATTTAAATTATAAACTTGAAGTAGTAAATAAATATTACTATTACCTAATAACTAAATTTATCTTGTAATAACTCTCACAAACTTATTATTACTATTATTGTTATAAACCTAACTAATAAACCTTGCTTACTAACTAATAAACCTTGCTTACTAACTAATAAACCTTGCTTACTAACTAATAAAGACAACTTTTAATATATTTATATAATTATTATTCCTTTATTACTATTAATAACTAATAAGTTTAAAATGATTTTTTCTTAAAAATGTATAATTTTTAAGGTTCCATGAGCTATTAAAAAATGTTTAACAGACAGATACTTAACCTATAGTACACAACAGTTTGTATAATTTTTAAAATTAGGTCAAAACATTAAAAGTCAAAATAGCTAGACTATACTATAACTAACTGAAAAAAAATAATTTGATTGTGTCAAGAAATCATAAAAACCATAAAACCCATTTACAGTAACAAAATTTACAGTAACAAAAATACAGTTTCTTAGACACTGGATAGATAAATTTGAAAAATTTATACTTATCAGCTAGCCATCCACATATGAGAGATCCAACTCCAGATCCTGCAAATAACAGTGAGTTACTGACAAATATTAAACTTTCATTTTCGCAAAATAAACCAAACTAAAGTGAAATAATTGCTTTAATCAATAGAGAAGAAAGTTTTTTTTAAATTTTAGAGATAAAAATTCAAATAATTTGTGTGGTTTGCATATTAAACAATTTGAGTTAGTGTGGGTATAATGTGTTAGCACTTACTAAAGTTTTCTACAAATGCTAGGTTTCACCCATACTGGTTTACACTTATGTTGGCACATATGCTGGTTTACACTTATGTTGGCACATATGCTGGTTTACAATTATGTTGACACATATGCTGGTTTACACTTATGTTGGCACATATGCTGGTTTACACTTATGTTTGTATCAAATATATAAAAGTAAATAAAACCTAAAAACAAATTTTAAGTTTATAAAATGTTTAAACTTTTATAAAAAGCTGCAAAATGTAAAAAGTAAATTCAACATTTTATTTATTAAAAAAAAAAAAAGGTAAGTATTTTTTGACAGAAAAAAAAGTTTCATTGACATTACTCTTTGAAAGATTGTTGCCAGTGGCAACATTTTCACATGGTAATATTTATGAATCATTTTTCTGCAGTTTTTGCAATTATTCACTTTTGAACATTCTGCTTGCTTAATCATAATTATCAAGTTATGTAGAAAAAAGTTGCAAAGAAAACATAATGACTATTTTGCTTTTACTGCTACTTTTAAACTACTTTTTAACTACTTTTTAACTACTTTTAAACACTACTTTTGAACATTTCTTATTGATTCTTGAACATAGCAAATGAATGTTTTTACTAGCATACACAAGTCATCATGTTATTTATTGTTATGTTGACTATAATGTGTTATTTTTGCGAATGGAGCCAGCAGTTTAGTTGTTACTGCAGGTATAAATGGTACTGCAGATTTTTGAACCGCAAATTTGATTTTATTTTACATAGAAAAATTTTAATAATCAATTTTTATCTATAAAAAATTTAAATATTGTAAAACTTAACTGGTTAATTTAGGCGGTTTTTATATTAACCATAAAATTTAATGTTTTGCCTCTTTATAATTTGTTGATGTTTTTATTTTTTGATTGCCTATTTTCCATTTTTATCTTTTTTTTTAAATTGCCTGAATCTAATTGTCAAAAAAACAGATTACTTTGTCCATCTAGAGTAACCTGGGGTTACTTTGGATGGACAAAGTTTATTTGTTAAAGACTAGAGCAAACCAAATTTTAGAATTACATTAACAAGTTTTTTTTTTAGTTATTAATAATGATTCAAAACATTTTGAGTGGATAGTGAATAGCTTCTAACTAATGATAGCTGAATATTGAAATAAATACTTGAATTAAAGTCCAATTAACAGAAATATTATTAACACAACTGTATGTTTCATAATGACAACTGAAATATTTTCATATACAATATACAATAACTACAAAATAAGTTTATTATCAAGTCTTTCTGGCAAACACTTGCAGTTGCATTATTTGTTCATGTTTAAAACATTTTTTTTAGTCACAAGGACCTTCACATTTTTTAACTTTTTAAGCATTTTAATAATTCTCAGCAAGAATCTTCTGATAAAAAAAAAAAAAAATCTAAAAAAGGAAACAAAATTGTAATGAAATATCAAATTTTAATTAAATAAACAAAAAAACTTTTTTTTAAAAAGATTTTTTATAAAACTTTTATAAAAAGGTTATACTTTTTATTCTTTTTTTAAGGGTGGTTGTTATTTTTAGCTGAAATTGATGATGAAATTGTTTTTTTTATTATTTTTCTGTCTGTCTGAAATTGTTTCTTTTATTTTGCCCAATTTTCAATGTTAATATGAAATACTAGAGATAATGAACATAATGATTGCTCTGTTTAAAAAATACATTTAAAAACTAAAAAAAAAAAGTTTTAAATAGGATCCTAAAAATTTTGTGATGTAATATTATAAGTTCAGTGAATTAATAAGTACTACTTCACAAGCTTTGGGAGCATCTTTAATAACAATGTTCATCAGGAAATAAACTATCGGGTTTAAATGTACAATTTGGAAAATCCAGCGAAAGCACAGACTATTTCAATGGGGGTAGTAAGAACATCTAAAAATTTTGTATTTGAATATTAGTATTAATGACTTTATTTTTATTTACATAAAAACTTGTTTGAAAAAATATTTTACAAATAAATTTCAATTAGATTTCTTGCATTGACAAAAACAGTAAAGTTTAGCAAAAACAGTAAAGTTTAGCAAAAACAGTAAGGTTTAGCAAAAACAGTAAAGTTTAGCAAAAACAGTAAAGTTTAGCAAAAACATTTGAAAAACGAATTACAAAAATGTCCCTATCTCTACCTCAAATAATATCTAATAATCTCTACCTCAAATAATATCTAATAATCTCTAATAATCTCAATTATCTAATTATCAAATATCTCATTATCAAATATCTAATAATCTCAAATAATATCTAATAATCTCTACCTCAAATAATATCAAATAATCTCTACCTCAAATAATAAAGTGTTTCCTTAATACACAGACTGACAAAAATTGCGAATAAAATGTATATAGAAAATATTTTTTATTTTTGTTATTTTTGCTTTTTTCCTCGACTTGTATCAATTTTGGTAGTGGAAAATAACTAATACCCTAAAAAAACAAAAAGAAAACAAAAATAGTTTAACATTTAGGTATATTAATATTTTGATAATTAATATTTTTTTTTAATTTTAATTTTTTTTTTTTTTTAGTTTGCTTTATTTAAAATTTTCTATTCCGAATAGTATTTGTTTCCTTTCTTTGAGTATTGCTGTTTTATTCTCAGCAGTCTCTTATAACCTTTTTTTGTTGCAAATTCTTAAAACGCTAATAATATAAAAGCATGGTCAAGTTGTCTAAAAAAGTTATTTTTAATTAGGATGACAAAAGTGTGCAACTGCATGCACTTCCCGAGAAAGCTTGTATTATTATATATAATAATGTAAAATAAATATATCAGAGTAAGAATCTGTATAAGTATGTAAGAATATATATAAGAATATATATAAGAATATATATAAGATATTATAATATATAAGAATTTTTGCAAACAAAAAAATTAAACAATATGCAATTTGTCAGAATTGACCATCTTTTTTAAAATCTGTATACTAATGTACTGATTTGACTTTTGACAAAGTTTCTTCATGTTTTGCTTTGTTGCCATTAATTTTGTTTGTTTCAGTTTTTGTTATTGTTTGGCCTTGTTAAGTCTCTTGTGTTTCAAAGTGTCATGCTTATAGGTAGGCTTTGTTAAGTCTTAAAGTATCATTTTTATAGGTATGCTTTGTTAAGTCACTTGTGTTTCAAAGTATTATTTTTATAGGTATGCTTTGTTAAGTCGCTTGTGTTTCAAAGTATTAGTTTTATAGGTAGGCTTTGTAAGTAACTTGTGTTTCAAAGTACCATGTTTATAGGTAGGCTTTGTTAAGTCTCTTGTGTTTCAAAGTATCATTTTTATAGGTAGCCTTTGCTCAGTGTTTCAAAGTTTATAGGTAGTAGTATAACTACTATTATCTTTAAATGACTTTTTCCTGGCTCAACATTGAGTTTGAAATTTTGGTCTAAGACTTGGTTCTACATCCTCACCAAACCTCGTAGACTCATGCACACTAACTTTATTCTTCATTTAATATAAGATTTAATTTTGTTTAATATAAAATTAAATATAAGATAATTTTATTTGATATAAAATTGGATCATCTAAGTATCAATGTTTTCTTTTGCATTTGTTAAATAATCGAGTTCTCCTGAAAGTGGAACAAACCTTATTTCTGTCCAGTGGGATTATTCCACATTTTTTAAACCCAGAAACAAAATTTTGAGAAAAAAAGCTTATTTTCAGCTTCTCCATTTCTAAACATATTTTTGGTAACTATAGTGCACTTTGTAGAACTTTTTTTCCATTAACCTAATATTGATCTCTTTTTCATTTTCAATAGTCTGTACTACTTCTACTATTTTATTGAAGTTTTTACTTCAGAAAAAAAAAAAAAAAAAGGTGATTGAATTTTAGGAATTTTAAACACACTGGGAATTCTGCGGTATATGCAGTGCCATTAGGTTGGCTAATACCCTGAACTCTTTCAGTAAAATAACTAGCTAGATTATTACCTTTTTTTTAATTTTTTGTTGTAAATTTTTTAAATATTTATCAATTAAAGCTTTAAATGTGTTTTTGAGAAAGTATCTATACTTTCTCACAAACACATTTAATATTTTGAAACAATAGCTCACAAAAACCGTTTTTGTGGTGACACAAAATCCAATTGACCAGTTCACCATTTTTGTGGGACATAAACACCCAATTGTCGAAAGTTACTCAACTGTCCTAAGTAACCACATTTCACAGTAAATTAATTGCACACCTTATTATTTTATTAACTTTAGGTGATTTGATGATAGTAAGATGCAACAATAAAACTAGTAAAGAATAAAATTTATTGCAACATTATTATAAGCTTAATTTGAAATTAAATATTCATTTTGTTTCAACACTCTTATTATGTACCTTAAGTTATTACCTAATGTCTAGGAATTCATATCAGAGTGTGATGATTTTTAACAAGCAACAAGTATTCTCAAGTAATGAGAAATATTTTATTCTTGGGTTTATCTATCTAGATAAAACCAAAGAATGAAATATTTGCCGGACACATTTTGTCAATACTGAAACAAAAACCAAGTGAATCAATAGATCAATTGTTGATCAATGGTCATTTTGAAAAACTTTGCAAATCATCTAATGTTTATGCTGCTATTCCTAAAATTGATGATAATTACTTCTGTGCCACCATATCAGCAAACTCTCTCTTCAGAGTCTGTCATAGAATCATTGTTAATGTATAAAGCAGAAGCTTTAATTGATAGTGGGAGTGCAAACAAAAGTTTTATTAGGTGGCTCTACTTAATTTAATTTAGTGGCTCTACTCAATTTAAATGCTATTTATGAACAGAGTGTAATCGGAATGGCATCAGCTTCTTTATCAGAAAAATCAGATGGATATTGTTATGTTTCAATAACTCTTCAAAGCAAAATCTATAACAAATTCAAGTTGCATGTGCTAGATAACTTATGTATAGATATTATTCTTGGCACAGATTTTCAATAGTTGCATGAGAGTATTAGCATTAAGTATGGTAGTAAAGACCACCCATAACATTCACTATAACAACAATGAAAACTGAACCTCCTGAATTGTTTGCTAATCTCACAAAAGATTGTTGACCAATTGCCACTAGATTTAGAAATTATTCTCAAAGAGATAGAGAATTTATTAAATCTGAAATCTACTGCCTTGTCCAAGCAGGAATAATAGAGCCTAGTAATTCACCTTGGCGTGTCCAGGTCTTAGTAGTAAATGAAAAGACTAAACATTGCATGGTTGTTGATTATTCTGAAACTATTAATAAGTATACCCAATTGGATGCATATACTCTACCTAAGATTGAAGCGATTGTAAGCATAATTTTCAAATAAAAAATTTATAGAACTCTCAACCTTTGCTCAGCATACTACCAAATACCTTTATCAAAAAAAGATCGACCATATACTGCTTTTGAAGCTGACAATTACATATACTGCTTTTGAAGTTGTGGCAATATGCTAGAATGCCTTTTGGAGTTTCTAATGGATCTGCATGTTTTCAACGCAAAAAAGATGACTTTGTTAGAAAATATAAACTAACTGACTGCTTTCCTTTCATTGATAACATTACGATATGTGGTAATAGTCAGAAAGAACATGATGAAAATCTACTTAAGTTCAGATTAGCTGCCGTTGATGCTGGAATTACATTTAATGAAGAGAAGTGTGTATTTTCAACTAAGACTTTAGATTTTTTAGGTTACTGTATATCTTATGGCTCCTTAAAACCAGATCCTCGGAGACTTGCTCCTCTCATTAAGTTAGCAAAGTCTTTACAGCGTATTATTGGAATGTTTTTGTTCTATGCAAAATGGATGAGAAAGTTTTCAAATAAAATTAGAACTTAAACTCTGTTACTCAATTTCCACTGAATCAGCAACAAATATCAGCACTTGAAGCATTAAAAAATGAGCTTGTTCAATCTTCCATGCAAACCATTGATGAGAATATACCTTTTACTGTGGAGACTGATACTTCTGATTTTGCCATATCCGCCACACTTAATCAGGAAAGAAGACCTGTTGCCTTCCATTCACGAACCCTTCAAGGGAATGAACAATACTATTTATCAGTGGAAAAAGAAGCTCAAGTGATAGTCAAAGCCATAAATCATTGGCGCCTTTTTCTTTTGGGGCAACATTTTATTCTCATCACTGACTAAGGGTCTGTGGCATGTATGATTATAAACCAAGCAGTAAAATAAAGAATGATAAAATAATGCGCTGGAGAATTGCTTTGTCTCCATATTCTTATGATATCCGTTATCGTCCTGGCCAATGTAATAGTGGTCCAGATACATTTACTCAAGTTAGATGTGCAACAATAAGTTCAGAATCTTCATATGATTTGCATGTTGCATTTTGCCATCCTGGCTTACTGTTACTGGCTTCCATCATTTTATTCAATCAAGAAGCCTCTCTTATTCAGTAGATGATGTAAAACAAATATGTAGGGATTGTAGAATATGTAAAGAAATAAAACACAAGTACTACCGCCCAAATGATGTTCACCTAATTAAAGCAACTCAGCCATTCAAACATATATCTATTGACTTCAAAGGTCCATTACCTTCTTCAACCCCTTGAACAATATATGCTAACAATTGTAGACGAATACTCACATTTTCCATTTGCTTATCCTCTAAAAAATATGAGAACTCAGACAATAATAAACTGTTTAGCCGACCTTTTTTCCATGTTTGGTATGTCTAGCTATGTTCATTCGGATTGTGGATCCACATTAATGTCTTTTGAATTAAAGCACTGGTTCTTATCAAAAGGCAACTAGCAGAACAACCCCTAACAATCCAACTGGAAAAGTTGAAAGATACAATGGAATTATTTGGAAGTTGATATTACTCAATCTGAAAACTGGAAATCTGCCTATATCATCATGGAGTTCTACTTGATGCACTTCATACTACAAGATCTCTATTATGTACTTTTACTAATTGTAGTTCACATGAATGTCTTTTCAATTTTCAAAGAAGATCATCATCTGGGTACTCAATTTCTTCATGACTTGTTAACCCAGGACCTGTACTTATAAAAAGGAATGCGATGTAAAGTAAATATGAAGATTCAGTAAATGAGGCTCAGCTGATTGAAGCAAATCCTCATTATGCCTATATGAGATTCCCTAATGGTCATGCGACTACAGTGTCTACAAAACAACTGGCTCACATTGGAAAAAAAAAAAAAATTATCTTTTTTACAAAAAAAAATTTATTCACAATAATTTAGAAGTAACAGCTATTGATAGCTATCCAGCTTCCTCATAGATCTTCACGAATTTCTAAAGCACCAGAAAAACTCAACTTATAAATACACCTAAACACTTTTAAGAGAAGGGTGAATTCACCCTTCATGAATGTTATGTTAGTATGAAATTCTTATATATACATATATGTTTTGTATTATACTATATATACTTTATGTATTTTGTTAAAGACTATAATTATAGCTACTTTGAGCATAATTAATTTGGTTAATCTTTACAGATTTTAAGTTATCTTAAGTTATTACCTAAGGCTTAAGTTATAAATAAGCAAATAGAATGATTAACATTAGACTGTTTAAAAAGTTGATTACATTTTTTATTATTTTTGAAATTTATAGCTGATTTAATATTTCAATCCTAAACCCAAAACCTTTGGAGTAAAATCCAAAAACACTTTAGACTAAAAACCAAAAACACTTTAGACTAAAATCCAAAAAAACTTATAAGCTTTAATATTTCAAAAAAACACATAACTATGCAGATATTGGCAGTAACCATTCTGGAAGACACTTTACTAATAATACTGTTTCTACAAGTTTTTACAAGAATTTTTGCTTTACATATTGCAAAGTATAAAAATCGCTGTAAAATCCTGTAAAAATGAGACAAAAAAATTGAATAAAATTATAAACGTTAATAACAATAATTATCCAAGTCATGTTTGAGAAATCTGGTAAACAGTTAGTAAAAAAAAAATCTGGTAAAATTTTTCAACTTTTTGTTCTTATATTTATCTTAACTTGAATTTATTTATTTTTTGTATAAGCAGTGACTAAAAAAGTTAAAAAGCAAATAGATTGCAATGTATGTATTTAAATGTTTATCATAATTTTTTTTGGAAATTCGTAAAAACTAAAGGTTTAAAGAAATATGCAGAAATCTGGATAAGTCTGAAAATATAATTCCTGTAGTAATATTTAAAGAAGCATTAGCAAGATGCTATTACTAGTTTGAATAAAATATTTTATAAAAAAACACTTTATTTAGTACCTGAGTAACAATAGAGTATTCATAATCTTCTACAAACTTCCATTCAGATCTTGGCATGTTACATCTCATTGTGTAGTTTTTATCTCCAGACTTAAAGATTCCAGTCAATGTGCAAAAAGTACTGTTCTCAACACATTTCCATGCTGGATTAGCAGCAACAAAGTAAATAATGAGAGATTGAAAGGTGTTAGGTATTGTTATTAAGCAAAAAATTCCAATAACAATTATTTGATAAATGCCTATTTCACCAATGAAAGGCAAAGTTTCATCTATGTTATTTAAAGTTTTCATTTTTTATTACCGAATGCCTATAAAAAAGAAGCTTAAATAATATGATAAATTTGTTTGAAATTATCATTAACATTATTGTTAAGTATATTTTTCTAAAATTTTTTTTATTTTTAGAGACTAGATTATTAAAAGAACAAAAGTTGTTTGTCCAATTTAATTTGTAAAACATTTTAACAGCTTTGATACAAAAATAAAACAGACAATATGGACCAAACCATAATGTCTGTTTGTTTTTTTTTTTAAAAAAAATTATTTTGTATTCTAATAAATCTTAAGCAGGATTTTTTTGATATGATACAATATTTTAAAGCATTCAAGGGGTTTAATAAAATAAATATATATATATATATATATATATATATATATATATATAATATATATATATATATATATATATATATATAATATACATTTATTTTATTAAACCCCTTGAATGCTTTAAAATATTGTATCATATCCCCTTGTTGCCTTCTTTGTTCTAGAGATTGTAGATCGAGATAAGTTAGACGGGCTTCGTAATTCACATTTCGTATTGCTGGAACAAGTTTAGTTGCTCTTTTCTGGACGGCTTCTAGAGCCCAATGTCTTTTTTTTAAAAAGGATTCCAAACAGGTGCACAATATTCCAAATAAGGTCAAACAAAGGTTGTAAACAATCTAACAAAAATAGGCCCCGTCCAAGATTTGAATGTTCGTTTAAGTATGCCTAGAATTATATTTGCTTTATTTATTGCATGTTTGATGTGTTAATTCCATTTTAAATTATTGTTAAAAATTACACCAAGACTTCGCTCAATTGTTGTTGTTTCAAGATTTAAAACAGCTCCCATATCGTCTCTCATAGTGAAGTAACAGTTATCTAGATTTTTGCTTGGTTTTTCACTGAATTTCATAATTTTACATTTATCAATATTGAAGGATATCTCCCATAGCTTTGACCAATCTATAAGGGCCTCAAGGTCATTTTGAACTGACATGATATCCATATTGTTTTTGATCGTAGCGAAGAGCTGGCTATCATCTGGAAAAAGCTTACACAAATTCTTGACTATTTCTGGCATGTCATTTATATATATCAAAAACAGTAGAGGACCAAAAACTGATCCTTGTGGTACCCCACTCATTACATTGGCCCAATCAGAAGACACACCACTCAAGACAACTCGCTGTTGTCTACCTTTTAATAAATCAGAAATCCAAAAAAATCATGGTTTACTCTGTCAAAAGCTTTGGAAAATTCCAGTAAGATTAGGACAGCTATAACCTAAGAGACACCTCTAGGAGATTTGTGGCTTATAAATATGTATATATATATATATATATATACATATATATATATATATATATATATATATATATATATATATATATATATATATATATATATATACATATATATATGTATATATATATATATATGTATATATATATTATATATATGTATATATATATATATATATATATATATACATATATATATATATATACATATAAATATATATATATATATATATATATATATATATATATATATATACATATATTATATATATATACATATATATATATATATATATATATATATATATATATATATATATATATATATATATATATATATATATATACTTATGTATTTATACAAATGTATATATATTTATACATATATATACCTATATTTATATTTATATATATATATATATATTCATATATATATATATATATATATATATATATATATATATATATATATATATATATATATATATATATATATATATATATATATTATATTATATATATATATATAATATTCATATATATATATATATTATTATATATATATATATATATATATATTATATATATATATATATATATATTATATATGTATATTATATATATATATGTATATAAATATATATAAATATATATATATATATATATATATATATATATATATATATATATATATATATATATATATATATATATATATATATATAGCAACGGATTTAGCGGGGATGGGGGGTATGCGGATTTAGCGGGGATAGGGTACCCCCCTACCCAGAATTTAAAAGTCCTAAAATATATAAAGGTAGGACCTTTTTATTTTTAGGAGACGCAAAAAGGGTACAAAATACAAAAATATTTCAACATCCGCCTTGCCATACTACCACTGGATCCGTCACTGATATATATGTCAGGGGCTGTTCTAGACCGTTTTTGACAGCGCCGACGTTATTGGGGCGCCGCACAGTGAGTCAGATATCGAAAAACCTGGTCAAAATATAAAAACGTTATTTGATTTGGCTGAAATTACATGGCAAATATGTTTCGAAGTTACTGATTAAAAATTCGCAAAAAAAAAAGAACAAAAGTGGCGGAAACAATATGGCGGATCCAATATGGCAGAGATATATGTTAAAAAATTTTATAAATGGGTTTTTAAGGGTGCTTTCAGGCCACAAAATTTGACATAAATATATATAAAAAAAAAAAAAAAACTTTATATTAAAAAAATAAAAAACAAAATGATGGATTCAATGTGTATATATAAGCTAAAAAATGGATCAAATGACGGAGAATGGTGTTAAATATAAAAAAAAAAAAACGTTTTATTTCAGTTACAATCATTCTGGTTCTTTTTCATTTTCACCCGTTTCTTCGTTGAAGTTAAATTATATCCAAAGTCTGTTTCCTCGGCATCTGCATCAGAGTCTTCATAATCTTTTGCTACAGGAACCAAGGGGGCAGCAGCTGCTGGCTGTCTTCCATTTTTTTTAGTGTTGATTATCGTAGAGATGAAATGTAAAGGTCTGTGGTTGCCAACAATCTCCTGAACACGTCTTCCATAGTCTTAACTCTTGAAAACTTTCCTAAAAAACCCAAACGATTTTGCTTTATTAGCTTATTGGTTTGTTCTTGAGCATCCTCGGGCAGTTGACCCATGGAAAAAATGGCCGAAGAAATAATGTCAAATCCGTGGATCAGCAATCTTTGTACTGATGTTGGCATGTTGTACAAGGATATTCTTTGATAGTGTCTTGCAGTTGCTTAGGCGTAATCTCAAAACTTTTCAACGTTGATTTCATGTCCACTTGAAAGTGTTGGCAAAATTATATGAAAACGGTAGATTAGTTCTTCAGAAACATTAACTATCAAGGGTGACGTTAAGTTGTTTTCAAAGAAACCTCAAGCGGCATTTCCTTCGAACGTGCTGTACAACCCTTGCTTTGGCATGTTGACTAAAATTCTTAGTTGCTGTTTGAAAGCCTTGTAGATGCAGCTATCATTGTTGCTTTTTACTGCTTAAATTCTTGTTTACGCGCTTGCCATTTCTTCTTTTTTTTTTTTTGTATCCCAAATAAATAAAGTACTCAAAATATCGAATCCAGGCGTGTAGAGTTTATCGATTATCTACAGTGCTGTCAGTCCGTACTGTAGATAATCAGTGGTTACCAATTTTTGCCGAACTTTATCAACGGTCTTTGCAAAACTTCATCAATGTCATTAAATTGCTTGGAAGTTGATCTGCAGAGATAACACTGGTGCGCAGATTTTGTGTTTAAAATAGCATTGCATACAATTTCCATCTATCATGATCATACTTAAATTGTATCGAATGAAAACATTTTTCATATGAATGGTTGTTTTAAATGGTTGGAGTTGTTCGATGTGAGTGTCAAAATGAGTTTTCTCATTTAAAAAACTTTCCTCGGTTTCCTTTGTTAATCGCAATTTCAGAGATCTGCAAAAAAGGGTTTTGGATTATTCCATAAGAGATTTTCTTCTTTCGTTTCTTGATTTACATCTAAAAATTGCAATAAAACAAGCAAAGTAAAAAATAAATTTGCATGATATATAATCGGATCTTCAAAAGTCATTTTTTAAATGCTCTGTCTGAAAGTTCCGTCAAAGCCCCACTAATCAAAGTCATATTCAATATTTCTGAATTACTCTTATATGCAATATTGTCTTCGTTCTGCTGTAAAACACGTTGAACGGTGTGGTCTAATAAAGCTTAAAACTGTACCTAAACTTTTGATTCGGTAAAATTAAGGTGTCGCCTGGAGGGTAGCAACATGTTTTTGCTGCCAATACAGCTGAGTATAGTGGATAAAGTGTATTTAAGCATCTATTTTTTGCAATATGCTGGTAAAAATATTTCGTCAAATCTAGGTCTAATAGAAGTGCTACAGCTTCATTTGCATCATAGAAGATTGACAATAATAATGATAGTTGCATACCTTCCTTGTATTTTGTTACCTTGAATGGAATTTACAGTGTAACGTCATTTACAATCTTTGCAGCGCCTGAACGACCTGAAGATCATAGGCTCATTTGCGTAGCGAACAATAATTTGGCACGATTGAGCTTTGTACGTATCTCTTTAGTTCTCCTTATTTTGGACCTATCAGATAAAATTTTAAAATTTTCGGTGGACCGTCTTGTCAATTTATTTACAGTTGCACGTTTTGAATCAATCTGAAAATTTACTAAAGTTTTTAACCAGTTTTTGTTTATTTTGAAAAAGTAATCTTATCGTTGAGCTGCTTCTTTATATTTGCTTCTAAACTTTGTCATTAAAATAGAAATAGTAGGTCTTATGTCGTTGAAAATTGAAACTACATATCCAATCTTTTCTGTCATTGACTTTTCCAAATGTTCTTTGATCACTTGAAAATTGTTTGCAAAATCAAATCTAATCAAATCAAATGTATTCTAAAATAGATTTTACATTTCATAGAAAATTTGCATATAGTACAAATACTGATTTTAAGTAGACACGATAAAAAAAAAAAAAATAAAAAAGAAAAAAACAAAACTAAAAAACTAAACATAAAACATTTAAATACTTAAACGAAAAACTTTATCGAATAAAAATTCTTTTTCAAAATATTCTTTTGTTATAATAAAGATCTCTTTTTCGAACGCCCATACATGACAACCAGTATATCTGATAAACCTGAATTTAAAAAGTTTTTGTTTTACTTATTTAATCCATATTTAGTTAAGTTTTAAATTTTTATTTTAATAATATATATATATATATATATATAATTATACATAAATGCATTTATACCGCCATTAAATGAATTCTATCCAATTCGAAATCTTTTGCAAAATATTGTTTTGCAATAAGTCTTATTTCAACAGTCCGTATCCAAAGCTACCAATTTTTAAACAAAATTTGTTTATTTTAAAATTTTTATTTAATGAAAATGTATTATGTATTATACAGTAATTTAAATTAATTCTATCTATACATCGTCGTCGTATAAAAAGAATTTGACTTAATGATTTAAATTACTGTATAAATTATTGTATTTATACATTTATATTACTCTATAAATTTAAATTACTACATAAAAACTTTTAATACAATATAAATGCAGTTTTTATTTTAATTATAAATTTATGCATTACTTATTTATATTTGTATTTATTAATTAATTCATTAATTAAATACCTTAAGCGTTAAAAATCATCTGCACGTAGTATGTCCAATCTATGTGTTTCGATTTATATCTATTTTCTTCCTAATTTAATTATGGAGTTAGTAACTTTTTTAAGGAAAAATATTTTTTCCTATTAATATTGTCATTAAAAAAAATAACTAAATATTTAGTTCAAAATATGAAACAAGAAAAAAAGGGAATGCAATCATTTCTTGATGATTGGAAAATGGTAATCACTGTGAAGCGGTGTGTGTGGTGATCACTGTCTTTTTCTAAGTTATTCATCTCGCTGTATAGGATAAAGCAGTGTTCCCATCCTTTTCTACTCTTAATATTCTTTATAATGCTTCTAGACATCAATTATAATTAAATTTGTACAAATGTAGTTCATAATTAAATAATTTTACTTTTATTTTTCAAGATGTCTCAATAACGACATTTTGCAACTGTGATTTAAAACTTGGCTTAAAAGTGGAGTAGGTATTAGTAAGTGTTAAATTACAAAAATAATACTATATACATACAAACAAAATGTAAATGAAAGTGGAATGTCGTGGAATTCGTAACTTATCTCTATTTTTAAAGCAAATTTTACAATTTTATAAAACATTTTCAGTATGAATTCAATTAGAAAAAAACATCTATAATTAATGACTTAAAAATAATATATATTTTTAAATTAGTACATACCTCTTGAAACTAAATCCATAGTGAAAATGTTTGTTTTACGTGCACACAGCACAAATATTTATCATTGAAGAAAATACAATTTTTTAGCTTTAACGGGTGCAAGCACGATAAACAAATGACTGCCGCGTTCTACCTGCAATATAGCGCACAAAATGAACAGCTGATCTTCCGCACAGTCGGCAGTAAGTTGTTTCATTATCACTGAAGCTAACCTTATAGTCAAAACTTACCTTGTCAAAACTTTTTTTTTCCTTTTTAAAAAAGCAATTAAATTTTTGAAAAAGCAAAAACCTTTTATTAAGTTTATTTATTAAAATTATGATTTATTATTAAAATTATTATTTATTATTAAAATTTTTATTTATAAAAATTAATTTTTTGAAAAAGCAAAACATTGAAAAAGCAAAAACCCTGATGAGTTTTTGCTTTTTCAATGTTTAGATTGAATTTTCCCTGATTAGATTGAATTTGCTCAAAACTTGAGCAAATTCAATCTAACTTTTACATTTTGTTTCAGTTACAATAATTCTGGGTCTTTTAATCTTCACCCGTCTCTTCGTTGAAACTTTCACTATATTCAGAGTTTGTTTCCTCGGCATCTGCATCAGTCTTCATAATCTCTTGCTACAGGAACCAAGAGGGCAACAGCTTATGGCTGTCTTCAATTTTTTTGGTGTTGATTTTCGCAGAGATGAAATGTAAGGGTTTGTTGTTGCCAACAATCTCCTGAACACGTCTTTCATAGTCTTAACTCTTGAAAACTCGGACAGTTGATTCAATTAATTTTCCAAATGTTCTTTAATCACTTGCAATTTGTTTGCAAAATCAAATCTAATCAAATCAAATGTGTTCTAAAATAGATTTTACATTTCATAGAAGAATTACATATAGTACAATTACTGATTTTAAGTAAACACGATAATAAGAAACTGAAAAGAAAAACAAAACAAAAAAACAACATAAAACAGTAAAATACTTAAACGACAAATTTATGGGATAAAAATTATTTTTCAAAATATTCTTTTGTTATAATAAAGATCTCTTTCCTCGAAAGCCCATACACGGCAACCAGTATATCTAATAAACCTGAGTTTAAAAATCTATGTTATTCTTATTTAATTTTTTTTTTACTCAATATGTAGTTAAGTTTTTAAATTTTAATTTTAATAAGATATATAAATGTAATTTATACCGCCATTTATATACAAATGTATGTATATATATATATATATAAATATGTATATATATATATATATATATATATATATATATATATATATATATATATATATATATATATATATATATATATATATATATAATTATATATAAATGTACTTATACTGCCATTAAATGAATTCTATCCATTTCCAATCTTTTGCAAAATATTCTTTTGTAATAAGTCTTATTTCGACAGTCTGTAACCACGGCTACCGATTTTTAAACAAAATTTGTTTATTTTAAAATTTTTATTTAATGAAAATGTATTATGTATTATACAGTAATTTAAATTAATTCTATCTATACATCGTCGTCGTATAAAAAGAATTTGACTTAATGATTTAAATTACTGTATAAATTATTGTATTTATACATTTATATTACTCTATAAATTTAAATTACTACATAAAAACTTTTAATACAATATAAATGCAGTTTTTATTTTAATTATAAATTTATGCATTACTTATTTATATTTGTATTTATTAATTAATTCATTAATTAAATACCTTAAGCGTTAAAAAACATCTGCACGTAGTATGTCCAATCTATGTGTTTCGATTTATATCTATTTTCTTCCTAATTTAATTATGGAGTTAGTAACTTTTTTAAGGAAAAATATTTTTTCCTATTAATATTGTCATTAAAAAAAATAACTAAATATTTAGTTCAAAATATGAAACAAGAAAAAAAGGGAATGCAATCATTTCTTGATGATTGGAAAATGGTAATCACTGTGAAGCGGTGTGTGTGGTGATCACTGTCTTTTTCTAAGTTATTCATCTCGCTGTATAGGATAAAGCAGTGTTCCCATCCTTTTCTACTCTTAATATTCTTTATAATGCTTCTAGACATCAATTATAATTAAATTTGTACAAATGTAGTTCATAATTAAATAATTTTACTTTTATTTTTTAAGATGTCTCAATAACGACATTTTGCAACTGTGATTTAAAACTTGGCTTAAAAGTGGAGTAGGTATTAGTAAGTGTTAAATTACAAAAATAATACTATATACATACAAACAAAATGTAAATGAAAGTGGAATGTCGTGGAATTCGTAACTTATCTCTATTTTTAAAGCAAATTTTACAATTTTATAAAACATTTTCAGTATGAATTCAATTAGAAAAAAACATCTATAATTAATGACTTAAAAATAATATATATTTTTAAATTAGTACATACCTCTTGAAACTAAATCCATAGTGAAAATGTTTGTTTTACGTGCACACAGCACAAATATTTATCATTGAGGAAAATACAATTTTTTAGCTTTAACGGGTGCAAGCACGATAAACAAATGACTGCCGCGTTCGACCTGCAATATAGCGCACAAAATGAACAGCTGATCTTCCGCACAGTCGGCAGTAAGTTGTTTCATTATCACTGAAGCTAACCTTATAGTCAAAAATTACCTTTTGGAAACTTTTTTTTTTTCATTTTTGACCAGCTTTTTTATGATCTGACCTAATGCGCGCCGCCAAAATTCAAAAATTGCGGACCTTTTTTTCAAGGCAAATATTAGGCCGGGTAAATGAAAAAAAGCAATTGCTTTTACTCAGTAATTGGTCAGCTTTACGTGTATAAAAATTTGAGCAATTTTGTTAAAATTTTTATTCACGTTAAGCCGAACATTAACTTCAAAAATGCTGAGTAAAAGCAATTGACCTTTTGTCAGATAACGAAGCCATTTTTTCTATTTTGAGATCGCCTTGGAACAAACAAACTTATTAAATATATAATATTGTGCGAATAAACAGCGATTGTTACATTAGCCTAGAATATTGTTCTTATTTATTTGTTTGAATAGGGTTTTTACTTCAGTAGATTTGTTAAAGTATAAACAAGAGGTGTACCGCTTGGTTCGGGATGTGCACGAAACGTTCTTTTGATAGAAAAAGTTATTATTGCAGAAGCTTTAAACCTAACATTGTTACCTACCAGTAAAAATTGTATCAATGAAATAAATATTAAGAAGGAAGTTAGTCGCTGACGATATTCTACATCTTCGATTTCCTGAAGATTTAAATAGTAACTAGCAAAGTGGAAGTCAATATATTCTTAATTCGACTATAAAGTCATTAAAGAACATGTTATTAATAAAAGTGTAATAAAGGCGTTTAGAGAGGGAAAAACTTTGCAATATTCCGAGCATGTTAAAGATGTCTCCTTTAAAAACATTGTTGATAGTAGTCAGTATTGTTACGTTAAAGTTACTGTTGCTCCACTGACAAGAATAAACAAAAAAACATATTTAGCATGGGTATGTTTTTATGGTTCAGAGTATGCTTTTACTGCTAAGTGTTTGTGTATTGCAGGTTACAGTGCATCCTGTAATCATGTCTTTAGTTTATTGCAAATTAAAAAGCGTCAAAAAATTAACGAACCATGTGAGATAAATTCAGTTATTGTTAGGCAACTACATTCTAAAAATGATGATGTTGAACCTGGTTTAAATAAAAAATTTTATACACATTGTTCAAGAACAGACATTGATGTCACTTATTCAGCTGAGGACTGAGAGAATATTGCTGAGGCTACCAACGGTAATGCAACTATTTTGCAGTTTAAAAGTTTTTATAAAATAGATATTGATTTTACAATTGCTACAGAATATCCTTAAACAATTGATAAAATAGTTTGTATAACCAATATGAATTTGTTTCGTTATAAATTAAAAACCTATGGAACAAGTTCTAATATAAATAAAATTTGAAATATAACAAAAGACAAATTCTGTTAACTGGTTTTAGTATAGAAATGATGTTATTACATTATCAGTATCCCATGAGGTAATCTTAACTTAAGTTAAACTAAAGTTTATATTCATTGATAAATTTTAAGTTTATAGTATTATCTCTCAGCGTTTATAAACGTTTATAAACATGAAGGGGTTACAAATTCAAACACCAAAAATGCTCAAACACCAAAAATGCTCGATCCGTTACTGCCACAAATCTCTTGTTTCTGAAGCAAATTTGCATCAGAATTCAGCATTTAAACGGTGCAAATGGACAATAAATATTTATATACATTTAAATTTTCAGCTTATAAGTATCTCAGAAAAATATCTTTAGACAAATATCTCAAGAAAATATGTAAAATTAGAACAATTTTAAATTTACTTTTAAGCTCCAGAGTTTGCAGTTAAGTATCGGATTAAAATTCTAATCATTAGAACCATTCAATAACGAGAAAGCGAGAAAGCAGCCGCCATAGAATCCACTCTTTGAATCCACTCTTCTTCTTTTTTTTTAATGGTTCTTTACAAGATCTCTTTATTTGAAGTAGCTTCTGAAATTTCTCTTAGCTATTCACACGCTCTGCATTGTCTTGAATATATTATACTGCAAGCACAGCAAAACTGAACTTTTTATTTCGAAATATTATTCTTAAATTAAAAAACATGTTTCTTGTTTTAAGAAATAATTATCCTGCCTTCAATTTATTTTTAAAAACGAAAAATATATTTCTTGTTTGGTCAATAGATTAACTTTTTTGCTATGAACTCTAATGAGTTGTTAGCAACTTTGAAAGATTTTAAAGGTTTTGTAAATCATTGTATCCAAAAAGTTTTAGGGAATCTCGTCCGTAGGCAAAAATTAACCATTAGTGATGAAATACACAAACTATTACTTAGAATTTCAAACATTACTCATTAGTGGTGAAATAAATAACTGAAGACCTAGTGGTTGTTATCAACAAAAATTGCTTTCAGTAGGATTTTAGTTTTAATTTAATCCGTTTTTACATATTTTCAGACCTCCCTTTGTTTTTAAAACAGAACTTTTACCATTTTTGTACTGTGATGTCTTTCAAAAGATGCTAACACCCGCACAAAACTCCTCCTATGGTTTTACCAAGATTTGATTTCACCTCTACATGTTCAATATACATCTGTTCATAGTCTCGTTGATCTTGAAAGTATAAACTAAAAATAATGCAATGTAGATTAAATCAGGTTTAAAATGACCTTATAAAAACTTGTTAAAACTAATTTTGACAAGATAAAATCAAAGTGCTACTTCTATTATTTTCATTTTTACTATTTTTCTACTGATTTTAACAAATTTCAGTGGAAAAAAAAATTGGTCTAGAGTTATTTTATTTGTATTTTACATCTGATTTTAAACCGTTTTGCAGATCATTTTTATTAAACAATTTGTTACTTTTATGACATATTTTTCTTAAACAATAAGTCTAAAATATCAAAACTTATGGAATTAAGTTTTACATTAAAAATTGAAGGGCAAAAACAACGATGCCTAGGAGAGAGAAATGTATTCAGCTATTCTATTGAACTGTTCGATTATTTTATTTCTTAGAATAAAAGCCTTCCTAATTTTAGAAAAATGCAACTTGAATTTTATGAAAATCAAGGCGTGTGAAACAGCTCCATGTTTGTTAATTTTCACCTAATGGCAAAAATTTTTTCCCCCACAAGTTCACAATAATCTCTGTCCTTTTAAAAAGTAAATAAATGTAATTAATTTTAAAATGAGAAACTTAAAAATATTGTTCTTGCAAATAGGTATTTTAAAGTAAAGTAGTTTTTTCTTTACCTTACTATTTTTAACCTTTATGGTTTTATGATATAAACAGTTTATTCGCCGGTGTCATGAAATAAACCAACACCATAACAAATTAAATACCGTAACATTAAAAATTAACCGGGGAGTTAATCTATTTCAAAATAGATTAGTTCCCTTTAAAAAAAATTAAACCCTATTGGCGAAACAAATTAACTTCTTAAAATATTTTAACTCCTTTGGAACAACAACTTTCAATTTATTTCAAAAAGTTACAAAAAAATTTCCACTTGATATTTTCCAAATGTATTTGTTTTTACATTTGTCAATTAATTATTGATATGAATATAATAACAGCAGCACTATAAATATCTTGAGGATTCTTAAATATTTGTACATTCAATATATATGTATATGTATATATATATCGAATACTACTATATATCTATTATGTATATTATCTACTAATTTATAGCTCTGTTCTTTTAAAAACATAGGGCACTCAATGTTATAGAATACATTTAAAATTATTGTTATCTATATATATCTATCTATATATATATATATATATATATATATATATATATATATATATATATATATATATATATATATATATATATATATATATATATATATATATATATATATATATATATATATATATATATATATATATATATATATATATGTATATATATATATATATATATATATAAATATATATATATATATATATATATATATATCTATATATATATATATATATATATATATATATATATATATATATATATATATATATATATATATATATATATATAAATATAAATATATATGTATATATATATATATATATATATATATATATATTTATATATATATATCTACATATCTAACTATCTATCTATATATATATATATATATATATATATATATATATATATATATATATATATATATATATATATATATATATATATATATGTATATATAAATTTATATATATATATATATATATATATATATATATATATATATATATATATATATATATATATATATATACATATATCTATCTATCTATCTATCCATCTATCTATC